AGGCTTCTTTTTTATCTAGAACGTCAGCAAACACTTTTTCTCGATCTATTTTTGATAAACACAAAAGATGAAGAAACTTCAACTTTTTGACCAAAAACATGGACTATCCCCTTTCCAAAAATGCCAATTTTGCCTTCTTTTTAAATCCATGTTTATATTGTCTACAAAGGCTTGGTTTCTAACGAGAACGTCACCAAATACTTTTTCTGGGTGTATTTTGCATAAAACCAAACGTTCACAAAATTTCAAATTTTTGACCAAAACCATGGACTAACGCCTTTGTAAAAATGCCAATTTTGTGGGTTTTTGAAACCGATGTTTTTGTTGTTCAGAAAGGCTTGTTTGCTAGATAAAACGTCGAAAATCGATTTTTCCACGATTTATTTTCACGATTTATGACATGGGAATACAGGGGGTTACAAGGGGTTACAGGGGGTTACAAGGGGTTACAAGGGGTTACAGGGGGTTACAAGGTGTTACAAAGGGTTACAAGAGGTTACAGGGGGTTAGAAGGGGTTACAAAGGGTTACATGGGGTGACAGGGGGTGGCAAGGGGTTACAAGGGCTTACAAAGGGTTAGAAGGGGTTACAAGGGGTTACAGTGGGTGACAAGGGGTTACAGTAACTATGAACACTGCAGAGGAAATCACGCAGTCTTACTCACCATGAGGTTGTCTCGTAGCCAAACTTGTTTTCAGTGATTGCAGATACTAGGTGTTGTCCTTAAAAAGAGATAACATAACAAAGATTATAATTATGTAGTATGATAGGTCCAACAGATATGTGTAATTATCAGTTGTAAACTACGACTAGTAGCTAATTATCTGGCTAAAAAGTACCACACTGGGTTATATAAAGAAACTTTTTAACAAGAGTGTCACTGCCTAAAAAATGATCAGGACAGAAAAGCAAAAAATGAAAAAGCCTACCTAATGTTTTGAAGTTTGGTGGTTATTTAGTTGCCTAGTTCCTAGGTCTCATTTTCGACACGGCTTATGCGTTTTGCGTCACGTGGTCCGAGCAATGATATGTCACCGAAATGCATTGACCAAGAAGGCCAGGGAAGACACTATACAGGGACTAGGCAGGTTATTGAGGAAGCATCACTCATATGTCACTAATAGGCCTGTTGTATTAGTTGATCATGTGATCAAGTTTCAGTCAACACAAACGCAGGTTACTTTTGAAAAAGTTTGTTAGCACGAGCTGAAAGAGCATATTAAAATTAGGTGACCTGTAAATTTTCAGCCGTATATCTCAAAAGTAGCAATTGCAAGAGCCGCCGAGAATTAGAAGGATTTGTATGAGAAAAACAATTCCTGCCACCCTGCAGTCACGCTTGAGCGGTTTCCCTAATCCATACACGTCCTTATAAATTGTGAGAATTAACGGCCGTTAAATATTTCCCTTACCCATTTAAGGGTTCAAATTGCCTGTTATGAATTAAAAGAAAATTTGAGCGCGGTAATTCTTAAGGAAAAACTTACAAGGATATGTATGGAAAACCATTCAAGTGTGACTGGGTGGCGAAAGATGTTTCTCTCATACAAATCCTTCTAATACTCTACGGCTGTTGCAATCGCTACTTTTGAGATATACGGCTGAAAATTTACAGGTTACCCAATTGTCCTATGGTACGCATGCCAGGAATCATTTTGCGTCTTTGGGGATTTTTATGGCTCAGTGATGCAGGAGGCAGACGTAACAAAATCATTATATTTTTAATCATTACTAGTTTCACGGGAATAACTTGCAAAGAACCTATGCAAAGGAGAGAGGCCTACAAGCAGAGATGAAATCATGTAGAAATGCTTGCCTGAATGTTGTTGCATGTGATCGAATCTCCGTGACCAGTCAATAGCAAGATCCACTTCAGAGCCTTCTGGAATTTCCTCACAAACATAATGGATTGCAGTTGTTCCTCGCCTTAACACTCTCAGTACCTCAATACCATTGATCTAGGCAAAGGTTCCAATGATAATTAAAACAGAATCAAATTTATGCGTGCTATGGTGTGGCACGAATTTTTTTGGCGGAGTTTATTTTTGCAGATTGGCGATTTTTGCTTTGTTTTATGGGGACTAGTTTTTGTGATAAATAAGACAGATTTTCTTTTTCTTTTGCCGGGAATTAATTTTTGTGATTTTCAGAAAGTACCGGACCCAGCATTGATAATATTTTTGTTTTTATTGAGTATGTGCAATAGAAACACATATTTTCAAACAATAGTACAGAGTGCGACACGCTGTTTAAAACCAGTAATTCATCATACAGTGTTTTGTTTCTGAACAAAAGAGACAAATTTTCCCACAAAAATTTAGTCTTTAAATCTACTCTAACTTAAATTTGCTACACCAAAATACAACACTATGAATTTGTGTCTGTTTAATTAAATGGACACGATTTCTTAGAACTGTATTTTTGTGTGGCAAATTTAAGTTAGATTATTTATAGAATTACTCTGGACTAAATTTTAGTGGGAAAAATGTAATTTTTTTTACTGAAACGTACTTTTGTGGATCGCTGGAAAAATCACAAAAATCGCAAATAAGAACCTACAAAAAAATTGTGCCACATGGTAGTTATGCACTAAATCTTATCTAAAATGCCTTAAGGATTACAATGGTAAAATTTACAATCTAATTTTGTCACAAACAATGGCTGAATCAACCCTGCAAGCCCCAAAATTCACATACAAGTTCTCTAGACTGACCTCCATACACTTCTTTAAAGAATTACTTAAGAGTATTGGATAAAAAATCCAAGTAGTTTTCCTTTGGTAATCACTTAATTAATTAATTAACTAATTAATTAATTCTCATAATGTATAGATATTGGAAGGAGAAATCACTCCTAGTGCTGAAAAGGTTAAGCTGTATGGACCCTTTTCCCCTTAAAAAACAAACTCAAGGGCACCAAAAAGAAATCTACATTAATAATGATGGATGGAAGGAAAAACCCCAAAAATCTCATTATTTAATATTTCACAAACTCTATATGACAGCTAGAGTATGGTTGTTTAATATTGTGCTGGAATTCATTCCCTGTTATCATTAAAGTAATTTTTCCACCATGATGTAACATAATTGTGCCATATAAGACAGAAGAGTCAATTTATTAATGCATGTATAATAAAGCAGGGGAAGCTTATTGTAAATTGTTATGTCAAAACTTGCTTGACCAATCATGGCATATGATTGAGATAATTATGAGTAGTGTTTTATTAAACTTTTCTGAGCACAGACTGATTCCAAATGGACTACCACAACACAAGCTATTATATCTTTCAAGAGACAACTTAGAGGATAGAATGCCCTTGGTTTGCAAGCAATGAACTAAATGGAAGATGACCAACACCTCTGATGTTTTGTGATGGGTACAATTTATTGTGACAAGAGCTATTACCTTAATGTATTTCATTTAAGGACGTCTCTTTTGTAATTTTAATGCCCATAAAAAATTAACGGTAGACAAAAACAATTCTTGCAAGATCATAGGAATATAAAGCTGATTCAACAAAACTTTGGGTACTGGGCATTTGAGCACCACCAAACAATAGCTCCCTAGTGCCCAATTCCCAATGCCCAAAGCAACTTTTATTGAATCAGCTATATTATTAATCTTATGTCCAATGTTATGATTGAAAGCATAATTTAAAAGAGAATTTTCTGATTACTTTATTTTGAGTGTATCACTAATGCCATTATTGTTTAATATTAAATGACCTTTATTGCAAAAAGACTGATACCTCCTTATGGGAGTAAAGTGCAAAGATTTAATGTTCCTGTTACTGTTTAAAGGTACATATGTACATGTATTATAAATTAGAGTTATAGTCATTCCTTACCGTTCCTCGATCATCAGGCTGTTAACATCCACGATGTTGCCATCCACATTATGCAAGAACAAAAAGACATAAAACTTTAAATGCCAACAAGGAACCCAAAAGTGTGACCGCTTTTGATTTATTCACATTCTTTCGTAAAGATTTAATCCAAGATTATATCTTTAGTGATATGTGTTCCCTCACCCACCTGGGAAAAACATATCCCTAGCGATATGTGCTCCCCCACCTGGGAAACACATATCCCTAGTGAAATGTGTTCCCCCTCCTGGCAAAGACATATCCCTAGTGAAATATATATGTTCCCCTACCTGGGAAACAAATATCCCTAGTAATATGTGTTCCCCCACCTGGGAAACACATATCCCTAGCGAAATGTGTTCCCCCTCCTAGGAAACACATATCCCTAGTGATATATGTTCCCCTACCTGGGAAACACATATCCCTAGTGATATGTGTTCCCCACGTGGGAAACACATACCCCTACTGATATATGTTCCCCTACCTGGCAAACACATATTCCTAGTGATATGTGTTCCCCCACCTAGGAAACACATATCCCTAGTGATTTGTGTTCCCCCACCTGGGAAACTCATATCCCTAGTGAAATGTGTTCCCCCACCTGGGAAACACATATCCCTAGTGAAATGTGGTCCCCTACATGGGAAACACATTTCTCTAGTGATATGTGTTCCCCCACCTGGGAAACACATATCCCTAGTGAAATGTGTTCCCTACGTGGGAAACACATATCCCTACTGATATATGTTCCCCTACCAGGCAAACACATATTCCTAGTGATATGTGTTCCCCCACCTGGGAAACACATATCCCTAGTGAAATGTGTTCCCCCTTCTGGGAAACACATATCCCTAGTGAAATGTGTTCCCTTACGTGGGAAACACATATCCCTAGTGATATGTGTTCCCCACCTAGGAAACACATATCCCTAGTGATATGTGTTCCCCTGCATAGGAATACATATCCGAATTGATATGCATCCCCCCACCTGGGAAACACGTATCCCTAGTGATATGTGTTCCCCCACATGGGAAACACATATCCCTAGTGAAATGTGTTCCCCCACCTGGGAAACACATATCCCTAGTGATATGTGTTCCCCCACCTGGGAAATACATGTCCCTAGTGAAATGTGGTCCCCTATGTGGGAAACACATATCCCTAGTGATATGTGTTCCCCCACATGGGAAACACATATCCCTAGTGAAATGTGTTCCCCCTCCTAGGAAACACATATCCCTAGTGATATATGTTCCCCTACCTGGGAAACACATATCCCTAGTGAAATGTGTTCCCTACGTGGCAAACACATACCCCTACTGATATATGTTCCCCTACCTGGCAAACACATATCCCTAGTGATATGTGTTCCCCCACCTGGGAAACACATATCCCTAGTGAAATGTGTTCCCCCACCTGGGAAACACATATCCCTAGTGAAATGTTTTCCCCTACGTGGGAAACATATTTCCCTAGTGATATGTGTTCCCTACATGGGAAACACATATCCCTACTGATATATGTTCCCCTACCTGGCAAACACATATTCCTAGTGATATGTGTTCCCCCACCTGGGAAACCCATATCCCTAGTGAAATGTGTTCCCCCACCTGGGAAACACATATCCCTAGTGAAATGTGCTCCCCTACATGGGAAACACATATCCCAAGTGATATGTGTTCGTCCACCTGGGAAACCCATATCCCTAGTGAAATGTGTTCCCCACCTGGGAAACACATATCCCTAGTGAAATGTGCTCCCCTACGTGGGAAACACATTTCCCTAGTGATATGTGTTCCAGGGACCGCGCAGAGCGAGGGGCTGGGGGGGCTTTAGCCCCCCCACTTTTTTTGTAAGAATAAAAATAAATTAAACAAAAAATAATTTAACAAAAGTAACGGAGTGAAAAATAGCAAATAATCCTTAATTCGAAAGTGACCAGAGTCACTGGCAAACACAAACGCCCAGATAAATAGACAGAATGAAGCATTAGTCGTTACAATTGTAAAATATTTTTTCGCTTCTAACCTAGCAGAGGTAAACGTCTTTTAAATGGCTTCTTTTTCCTGTGGACCTCTCAGGAAAACGCGTTGTTTCGTAATTGGTCAATTTCAATCCAAAGTAATAACTGGGTTTAGTTTATAAGGCCATTCTCAAACAAATTGTTTATTAGTTTCAACCTTGATTTTTGGAGGATCATGAAGTTATTGTTTCTCTTGTTATTGTGCGTATTGATGTTAGCTCGATCAGCGCGAAGTCCGTCTTTTGATGTCAGGCTTCACGGCTCGTTGAGCATTCTAATTGGAAGTTTTTTTGAACGCGGTCTGTTTATAAAAACATTTTGTCATCGAAAGTACTTAAACCGCAGAATTGTGTATAGCTCTGGTCATCAAGGAACATTCAATCCGGCGGTTATTACGAACAAAGAAGTGCACATGGTACACGGCAACATAAATACGAACGACGAGACTTCACATACCACTATTAATGCAAAGAAGAGATCTCTTAAAATTTCTGATTACTTTTCCAAACAAAATGGAAAACCTTCTTTATCTGGTGAATAAACTCTGCATAATTTTTGCTACTTTTTTCTGAATCTGTTCTATAATTGGATTTTCATTCACTAAAACATTTTCAGTTACCGTTTTGTTTTGCCGTGTAAATATTTTGAATGAATAATTAAACAATTATTGAACTCGGCTTTCGTATGATATGAAGATATACAGATCTCGGAGGGTGTTATCCACCGGGCTCAAGCCTTCGGCTTCGACGGATAACCCCCCTCGATCTGCATAACTCTTCATATCGTACTCAGCCTCGTGCAATAATTGCTCAGTAATTATACAGCCTTGAGTTCAAGGCAGCTNTTCCTTCACTTATTCTTCTTTACCCCCCCACTCGAAAACTTGCTGCGCGGTCCCTGTGTTCCCCACCTGGAAAAAAACATATCCCTAGTGATATGTGTTCCCCTACACAGGAATACATATCCGTACTGATATGCATCCCCCACCTGGGAAACACGTATCCCTAGTCATATGTGTTCCCCCACATGGGAAACACATATCCCTAGTAAAATGTGTTCCCCCACCTGGGAAATACATATCCCTAGTGATATGTGTTCCCCTATGTGGGAAAAACATATCCCTAGTGATATGTGTTCCCCCAACTGGGAAACACATATCCCTAGTGATATGTGTTCCCCCATCTGGGAAACACATATCCCTAGTGATATGTGTTCCCCTACACAGGAATACATATCCGAATTGATATGCATCCCCCCACCTGGGAAACACGTATCCCTAGTGATATGTGTTCCCCCACATGGGAAACACAGATCCCTAGTAAAATGTGTTCCCCCACCTGGGAAACACATATCCCTAGTGAAATGTGTTCCCCCACCTGGGAAATACATATCCTAGTGATATCTGTTCCCTACGTGGGAAACACATATCCCTAGTGATATGTGTTCCCTACGTGGGAAACACATATCTCTAGTGATATATGTTCCCCTACCAGGCAAACACATATTCCTAGTGATATGTGTTCCCCCACCTGGGAAACAGATATCCTCAGTGATATGTGTTCCCCTACCTGGGAAACACATATTCCTGGTGATATCTGTTCCCCCACCTGGGAAACACATATCCCTAGTGATATGTGTTCCCCTACCTGGAAAACACATATCCCTACTGATATGTGTTCCCCCACCTGGGAAACACATATCCCTAGTGAAATGTGTTCCCCCACCTGGGAAACACATATCCCTAGTGATATATGTTCCCCTACCAGGCAAATACATATTCCTAGTGATATGTGTTCCCCCACCTGGGAAACACATATCCCTAGTGATATATGTTCCCCTACCAGGCAAATACATATTCCTAGTGATATGTGTTCCCCCAACTGGGAAACAGATATCCTCAGTGATATCTGTTCCCCTACCTGGGAAACACATATCCCTGGTGATTCTGTTCCCCCACCTGGGAAACACATATCCCTAGTGATATGTGTTCCCCTACACAGGAATACATATCCCTACTGATATGCATCCCCCCACCTGGGAAACACGTATTCCTAGTGATATGTGTTCCCCTGGCTGGGAAACACATATCCCTAGTGAAATGTGTTCCCCCACCTGGGAAACACATATCCCTAGTGAAATGTGTTCCCCCACCTGGGAACACCTGGTTTTCTCAGTTTGTGGCGTAGTTTCTATCGGGGTAGCATGAATAGAGTAAATTTTAGTGCTCCGAATCTAGTTTATAAAACTGTTCCATACTCACTGCTTCAGCTCCATGTGTTTTTCTTTTTCCTAAGTTAAAGATTTTTCCTATTTGTCACCAGTTCTCTTTGGAGTTCTGCATAATCGATATTAGACATGCCTTTGCTGATTAGACTCCCATTTCTTCCGTCTACAAGTTTGTTAGAACCTCTTCTTTTTGCCTCGCAGTAGTTGTCTCAGTTCTGAATTATTAATGTTATGAGGAATTTTCTTCCCAAGGGATTGCAAGTTTTCTTTTTCTGTTTCGCATTTCTGATCGAACCATTTGTTTTGTGATTTGCATTTAATTTTGCTGCCTCTCGCTTTTAATCCGGCCTCTTTGGATGCTTTCACCAAAAGTTTCACTTAGTAATTCAGATGTAGTATCGATGCTATAATGTTTGACAGCTGCTACTAACCTGGATTGAACTGTTTATATCGATAGTGATGTCTTTCCCTACCGGCAACACCGGGAAAAACACATGCCGGCTACCTTCTCTTATTCTCCTGCTACTTAAAATTTTTTTGACAACCCTGCAGTTCTATTTGACAAAGTAAGCGAGTTGGAATAATCACGATAGAAACTGAAAAAATGTGAATTCCTTTTTTCCATGAGACGTTTTTGTAGTTGTCAGCCATCGTGGTATCTTTTTAAAATTCCCTAATATTTAACCACGACGTGACCACTGCAAGCGTGAATACTTGTAAGCTCAAGCTTGTATTTTTGGAGAAGTGTCTTTAGTTTTTGGGCGGACAGTATTTTGAAATCAGATGAGGATTTTATATCAAAACGTGACAGATCGATCTGACGCGGTCGCTAAGCTCCAAGATTCGAATCCCGTAGGATAACAGTTAGAATTGCGCATCATGGCGAAGCGAAGCTGGCCAGAATCGATGCGAAATGCAACACTCCTCGAGCTCATGCAGCCGAATTTAGAACCTGGCGCTCGTGGAACGGGTAGGTGTACACTCTTCGGTCTGGCTGGTGGCAATTTTAGGGAGATCAGTCGCTTTGTTTGGAATTTATTGGCCTTCGAGCGGCGAGAGTCGATTGGAACGTCTCCAGCCTTCCCTTCTTTTATAGTGTTCAGTATTCGATGCAAAGAAAGTCGACTAAACGGAGTTTAAACCGACCGTAGGACACAGAGTGGCTATGAACTAAAGGTAAGTGAGCTTTTCGAATCAATATTTCGCGTGATCATGATTTTTTTTTTCTTAGCGTTGTAGATGCGAATACATGTGATAAAATTCGAGCAATAAGGGCCCGAATCACATGTAATAATGCAAGAAATATCGATTTTCGTTATCTTAAAGGCCACTAGTACAGATAGACAAACAAGAAGACTTCATATCTTTAAGATTTTTGCATTTATTTAGCATCAGATAATACACAAATAATTCTAGTATATTCCGACCGAATGACCTCTGAAGCCCGATCCCACAAATAGTGCGCTTGGGCTGCCTGTGCATGAACCCAGGAAGTTACAAATTTTTCCATTCGAAGCTGAACTAGCGCGCGGTATCATTGTCTGTTGACATGTGTTTTATGTTTTCGATTTTTTCGATCAAAATTGATAAAATCGATCGTTTAATTACAGAAATCGATAAAATCGATAATCACAAAAAGTCGATATTAGTCGATAAATTATAATCGATTTCGATCGATTACTATTGATTTTAATCGAGTATCGAAAATATTGATTTGTAACGTCCTGATGAACCGGTCAGTCTGAGCGAGAAGGTCGATGGAACGTCCCTGAGAAAGCATATACCTTTGTTGCCAGGCGAATTATGTTTTCTCTACTTAGGTGGCAAATAGATGACCTCCAAATGTTCTTATTAGTACAATAATTATAAAAATAGTAAGCTTCTTACCTGTCCCCCTCCTTCTGGAAACAACACGGTGTCTTCGAGGACAACTTCGAACACTTCCTTGCCGTTGATTTTGCCGGCTTTGCATGATATCACTTTTGTCTTTAACGTTCTTAGGAAAGAGTCTTTTTGGCAAGCGAATACCATGTTTATTTGACGAAATATTCTTGATTTTATGGATATTAATGCGTTTAAGCGAAGGAAGAAAGGTTAACGTTGCAAAGGATGCAGCATCAGTGATTTCCTCATTCAGTAGCATCTTGTCAGCGGTATTTTCAAAAATTCTACCAAGGTAGAATTATAAATGTAAATTTGTCCCTCATCATCTAGCGAAGGTCCCATGGTGTAATGGTTAGCACTCTGGACTTTGAATCCAGCGATCCGAGTTCAAATCTCGGTGGGACCTACTTTTACTTTTCGATATTCCTTTTTTTATTATTTTTCTACTCCAGCGTTCCATCTTTCTGCTACTTAACTTCTATTTTACTGTATTCAGACACAAATCTAACAAGTTATTGATAAATAAAATTTTTTATTTTATTCTCATAAAAAGTGGTAGACTGCCGACACACGCTGACCCGTCCCCAGTCCTCTCTCATTATTAGTATTTGGCGTGGAACTGGAACGAATTCTTTAACGAAGGGGATGACCGGAAGGAAGAAGGGAGAGACTCCCCTCCTCTCGCCTTCCCATCTTCCCCGCGCGCATAACCCAAGGGCTTCCCTAGTAAATAATTAACGAGTAGAGACAACTTAGACGACTGGGGACGAGTCACCGACACACATTTATCGCGTAAACCATTGGTATGGTCCAACAGAAAATTTAGAGTGCGTCTCCCACGCAGGCTATAATTATGCTCCTATTAAAATATTTTTATTGCAATAATTGTAAGAATGTTTATGTTAACAAGTAGCGTGCTAGCTTGAGGTTAACCGAAAAATGATTTACAAAGAGATCTTTTATGACACCATGGCTAAAAAATCCCCAGCATATAATTAAAATTAACTACCAGTAAAAAGAGGAGTACATATTTTGTTTTGTCATGTGTGTAGAAGTCCCGGGCGCTCACTATCTATAATGCTCTACATGGGGAGGCTCTGTCTTAAATCAAAAGGTAGGGAAATTCACACGTTAAAATATAAAAAAGGAGTGCAAGATCTGCAATTTAAGCATTTAGAAGGTGCTTCAATTAAAATGTTTTGAAAATACGAGTCTTATGGCTATTTCATTATTAAACGTTGCACGAAATTGAGCAGAAGGCTTCCTGTTTCAGCGAAATAGGTTTGTGAAAAGGGGGTACCATTTTTCAATGGAAGGTATAAATACAAAAGGGATACCTTTTCTGTGAAAGAAAAAAGGTTAATGGGCTGGACAGCCTCCCGGTAAAAAGCATTATCATACTTTCATTACTTTTGACTGATCGCGATCTTTCTTTATCCGACGTTGAGCAAGATTGATCGCACACGGTTTTTTGCAGTGGTCTTGCACCTTAACCAGTGGCGGATCCAGGGGAGTGGCCCAGGGGACCCGGGGCTCCCCTTATTTTTAGACTAAACTGAGGCTCAAAGGGCCGAAAAAAATTATCAATTATCCAGACCCTTATCAAAGGGTCTGGATGAGCGAGCCCTGCACCTCATCTCAAGGTCTGGATCCAGCACTGTTAACTCTACATTAGAAAAAGTTGTTCACAACAACTCCATTTGACATAAGCTGAGATACCAATCGTAGAGAAACCTGCAAATAAAAAGAGCTAAAATTCATACTTGAATAACAACACATCACTGGCTTTCAACACACATGGAGACGGCATCTAGGGATGAGGGGCTGGGGAATCTCCATTAAAAGGGAGAATGTTTGTTGTTTTGTATAGGGGTGTAAATTGCAGATTAAAGCACAGTGGAATACCGCTCTACGAACAGACACTTTTCTGAGTCCTGAGTCACCGACTCTCATATATCGTCAACCCCGCGTTACGGACACTCGGTATCTGTTCATTTACAATTTTCACTATGTTTACACGATTTTATTACTATTAAACAAAAAGATGCGAAATAGCGTGAGGTGTTTGGATTTTCGGGATTTTGATCAGTCCGTCTTTCCCTACGGTGTTTCACTCATACTGTGGTCATTCACATGTTTTCTGCCTTTTACAACACAAGTTTCACTTCCTTAGCTTTTTCGTTTCCCTTTTTTTGAGAGTCCGTTTAAAGGGACACAGTCAGCGGATGCACACTATGGCATGCCAATAGAATAATGGAAAGATTGATATAGCTGTAGTTTGGCTAACTGAAGTTTCAAAGGGAGAAGCTCCTACAATTTAAGATCTAATAGAAGATACGTATTCCGTATTCCGTATTATACGTAAGGTTCCCAGAACAAAGTGCAAGACCCTTGGAGACAGGGCCTTCGCACGTGTTGGTCCCTCACTGTGAAACACTCTCCCTTCAGCTATCAGCAGTATCCGGAGTGTTCAGGGTTTCAAGCTGGCTCTAAAGACCTTTTTCTTTCGTTCAGTATTTGCCCAGTGACCCAATTTGTGTACAGTGATTGTGGTGTTATATTTTCATTTTCTTTAAGTGTACTGCTTGTTATGTGTTAGTGTTTGTCGGCTTTTATTAGCGCTTTAGAATTATATGGGTATGGTTTTAGCGCTATTACAATAATATAAATCAATATATTATTATTATTATTATTATTATTGAAAAAAGTTTCTTCTAGGGTTCAAATAAAGCTTTAGAGACGCCCAAATGGTCTCATTTAGAGGTCAACCTACATGTATAGTTTAATCAGTTTGACAAGCATCCCTGTCACATAAAGTAATTATTTCAGGAAAATCCTCATCCCCCAACGAAAGGTAGGAAATTTTAAGCCCCCTTTTGCACGAAATTCTAAAACTGCTTAACTGCCCCCTCCTATCTGGATTTCTAAAAAATGTTTAGATCCAATTATCTAGAATTCAAATAACTGTAAAAGGTAAAAATCCAAGATTCAATCAGTTGTTTAAAATGTATATATCTAGAATTCCAACCGTTGGAAAAAAGAAAATCGTGAATTCTAATGTTTGGAAAAGCAAACATCCAGAAATGGTGCAAGTTGGTGCAGTTTGGTGCAACTTGGTGCAGATTGGTGCAAGTTGTGAAGTTTGGTGCAACATGGTGCAAGTTGGTGCATTTTGGTACAACTTGGTGCAGATTGGTGCAACTTGGTGCAGATTGGTGCAAGTTGGTGCAGTTTGGTGCAACTTGGTGCAGACTGGTGCAACTTGGTGCAGCTTGGTGCAACTTGGTGCAGTTTGGTGCAACATGGTGCAAGTTGGTGCAGTTTGGTGCAACTTGGTGCAGATTGGTGCAACTTGGTGCAGTTTGGTGCAACATGGTGCATTTTGGTGCAACTTGGTGCAGTTAAGTGCAACATGGTGCAAGTTGGTGTAGTTTGGTGCAACTTGGTGCAGATTGGTGCAGTTTAGTGCAGTTTGGTGCAACTTGGTGCAGATTGGTGCAGTTTGGTGCAACATGGTGCAAGTTGGTGCATTTTGGTACAACTTGGTGCAGATTGGTGCAACTTGGTGCAGATTGGTGCAAGTTGGTGCAGTTTGGTGCAACTTGGTGCAGACTGGTGCAACTTGGTGCAGCTTGGTGCAACTTGGTGCAGTTTGGTGCAACATGGTGCAAGTTGGTGCAGTTTGGTGCAACTTGGTGCAGATTGGTGCAACTTGGTGCAGTTTGGTGCAACATGGTGCAGTTTGGTGCAACGTGGTGCAGTTTGTTGCAAGATAGTGCCGTTTGGAGCAACTTGGTGCATTTTAGTGCAACTTATTGCAGTTTGGTGCAACTTAGTGCAGACTGGCGCAACTTGGTTTATTTTGGTGCAACTTGGTGCAGATTGGTTTAACTTGTTGCATTTTGGTGCAACTTTGTGCAGTTTGAGCAACGTTTAGTCAGTTGACGTTCATAGTACTTTAACAATTTGTTTATTTTGCACCAGATGTTCGAAGGAAAGACAAAGGAAAGTGAATTTATACGATGAGGATCAACTCAGCTGGCGTAGCGTTTCGCGTTTTTATTTATGTACAGCAACAATCAATTTTGCACAAAAATAGTCTAAATTTAGGATTAAAACAGTAGATTGTTGATACGGTTACACTGAAGCATTCAAAACAGCTCATGCACCTTCAATGTGCCTGTGTTTGAAATAATAAAGATAGCATTTATGGAATTTGAGAATTTTTGAGTTTGGCATCAAGTCCATTCTGGACTGGAAGTGGTACCACTTATGCCAGAATTGTCAAGGGAATGATGTAAAAATAAAGCAGTTGATTACTGCAAAACAATGAACGTTGTAGTAGTAAAAAAAATTGAAAGAGACATAGCTATTGTTTAAGAGCTGTAATATTTGTAGGGCAAGCATGTTGCCCATCCCTCCCTCCCATGGGAGTCTATGATTCAGTTACTGCGTCATTTGCTACACAGTTTGGTTGTTGTTGAATCTGACTCCAAAAAAAATTGTTGCTGAAACCTCTAGTTGTGTGGACTTTGAAAACACGTGATTACAGACTAAAGAAAAGAAAATACTGGCAGGGGTAAACATCTATTTTGTATACACCATACTTACTTTACTGCATCCTTTAATTCTCAGCAGCTTGAGCTTGCACTTTGGGGACAAAAATAGTTTAATGCTCTGATCAGTAACATAGTAGCAATAGCTGACATCCAATTCTGTTAATCCAAGACACTGCTGAGCTAAAACAGTAATGCTTTTGTCTGTCACTCCATAACAGCTACTTACGTGCAGTTCTTTGAGATGTGAACATTGTTCACTCAAAGCCATTATGCCAACATCAGAAATCTAAGTGAAACAAAGTGCATTATTTAGAAGGCTGGAAGTTTCGAAGAGGACTTTTCACAAAAATAGGTCTCTTTTTTGCTAAATAAAAGGACACCTTCATTTGAGGACCAATAAAAAAATAATACCAATAAAATAAGGTGCCATTTTGGGAGGGTTCAATACCAACTTAACCCAAACCTCAAGGGTGTTCAATCCCTTTGTCCAGCATTTTTGAAACTTGCACAGTAAGGATAGTCTTAATTTCAGACTTTCTGTTTCAGTCACATACTCTCTCAGGGACGTGAATCAAAGAGCTGCAAATGCTGTCCAGTGACATCACCACTCCCTTACTTTAATTCAAGCAAAAAGCAAAACACAATTTTCAACTGGCAAGCGAAGAAATATTGTCTCGATATGTCTACATAGTACAGAATTACTTTACTTTCAAATCATAATTCATGTTAAACATTCAAACTGTTAACTGCATGCAGTACTGTGAACAAATCATTTGCATGTATAGCACCATGATTTAATTATCAAACTAAATGGTGGTCAGGCAAAAATGAAATAAATACACATACAGGACACTTCAAGACCACAACAATTTGTTTTAATTTAAAAGAAGCTAATTGCTGTGCCTCGAATAGCTTAAGCTAAATGTAGCCAATGTGTATGTTTAAAATGTATTTCATTGCTTTTCAATAAAGTTGTTGTTGTTGTTGTCCTTAACAAAGATGAAAAAAGTCAATTCAGATGTCCCTGAGGGAGTATACGACCCAAAGGGATGTCTGAAATTCAGGCAACAGTAAAGGCTGGTTTTCACTGGTGACGGAGTCAGAGTCAGAGTCGTTATCAGAAACATAGAGCTTATGATCCAGTGAAAACAGTATTCCATTGCTTACCTTCCACTTATGATCTAGTGAAAACCAGATTGTCAGAGTCTGAAGCATGCAAAAGTGGAAGAACTTCACCAATCACAAATGGTGGGAATGTTCATTGTGATTAGTTTATCATTCTGATTCTGTTTCGGACTCTGACAATCTGGTTTTCACTAGATCATAAGCAGAACGTAAGCAACAGAGTTGTAAGTGGAGTCGGAAGAAAATGGAAAAAATGTTCTGATTCTTCTCCGGTTCCATCGCGCTTATGACTGCACTTACAACTCTGATTTTCGATTTCCACTAGGTCATAAGCGCTCTTACGACTGCGTTTACGACTTCAACTCCATCGCTAGTAAAAGCCAGCCTTAAGGAGAAAAGACAAGAGGTTAGAGATTGTGTTCAATGGGACTGAGATAAAGATAGACCACACACCGTAAAACAGCTACTTAAATCCACTTCTGCTAATTCTTTGCACTGCCTTGCTATTGCTTCCAGACCAACATCAGTCACTCCTTTACATCTACTTGCCGTTAGCACAGAAAGCTTGCTACAGTTTTGAGCGATCAGAAACAAATTTCCTTCTGTCACACTCAGCCAACAATTGTCCACATGAAGAACTCGCAAATTACTCACACTTTTTAGCATATGTCTCAACCCATCCTCTGTCAGAACAGACTGATGGGGAACAAAATCTAAACATAGTAAACTTCCTAAGTAGCCATTCACATGCTTTCTCCAAGTTCTTGATACACTTCTACACAGACAAAGAGATTCCAAGTCCAACCAGTCAAAAACCAGAAACATTATTTCGGTCGGAAAAACGTGCACTATATCAAGACTTGACGAGAAATACCTCTCTGCCGTCTGAGTGCAAAAACTATCATCCATCATAAGACTTGCGCTTTTATCACTTCTTGAGGACTTGAATTAGCATTGTTTATCAAGAATTCAGCTTCATCAACAGATAACAAGTGAAATGAACGTGTCGACTCGTACTGCAGGTCAATCTGCCATTAAGTTCAGCTTCTTAATTCTTTCGTGGTAATCCTTACTTAAAAGAAGAAGCTATCCATAGTGCGTTTTACACTTTTCGCGACACTGATCTTTTTTTGCTGATCTGTCAGATATGTTGTTGTTGTTTTCAAACGTCCGCAAACGTCCACCATAAAAACTGAAAGGCGTTCATTGGGATGGAACGGAAAGACTGGTAACTATGGGCGCTTTCCATTTAGTCAAAATTTCCGGAAATTCCCGGTACGGCGCTAAATGGAACACGTTTCGTCTGTTCGTCCCTCTGGAAAATTCCCAGAAAAAGTGGAAGATCTAAAGAGGTGGTCCCGTTTTCCCGGTTGGAATTTCCGAACGGAATGTCGTGTTCCATTTACGTTTCTCGTAGTTTGTACCAGTTCCTGGTCCACGGTCGGGCACCGCCACGTACCGGGGTTTACGACCAAATGGAACAACTTTTTACCAATCGGAAATTCCCATAGGCGTACGGGCCGGGGGAGCGAGGGGGGCTGCAGCCCCCCCAAATTTTGGGCAACTCAGATTTGTTTGGGCAGCAAGAGAAAATTTGGGCAAAGCCTGTTTTTAAAGACGTCTTCATGTTTATTTAATTATTTTGAAGACCTGAATATTAACCTGAAGTCGGCGTAATAATCCAGTTACATTCACACGAGACAGAATCGCCTAACATGTGATGAGTAATTTACATGTTTCTTTTTTTGTTATTGTTGGGCACGGTACTGCACTGCACTAGCTGGAATGGGCTATCCAGTCGTGAATTGATTAGAATAAACTTTCGCATATCTTTCTAGAAACATCTCCACTCGAAGAACAGGGTGGGTCTGAAAACGGAGGAGTGGCTGACTAATTCTCAGTTTGAATTGCGAGAACCATCTTAATTCTTTTAAAAAATCTATCGCTAATTTGTTAAAGTAGACCGAAATGTTTACAAAACCGCTAACAAGAGCGCCGCGATACATACTAATCAAATCCTTCTTTCTAGCAATCGGGCAGCGCTATCTCCAAGATCTTTCACGCACGTTTTTAAAAAGATTAAAACTACTATGAGGTGAAATTGCATGTCAAAAGCGCTTCGTTTTCTACAGATAACGGCCAAACCTCGCGATTTTCCTTTTCTTACCTTATTTCTAACGGTAAAAACTTCACCCCAAACTATCTTGATAAAGCTCTTACAGATTTTGCTTAAACTTTGCAAACATCGAGAAGACCGTATTGGCGGAAAAAGCTCCTGTGAACGATTTTGTAAGATTCCCAGTGCCGAGAATTTTTAATGTTGCTGAAGTAAAATAGGTAATGGCGTGATTTCGATGCTATGACAACTCCGATGTCATTGCAACCCTGATCAATATGACAAATTTTCATCTACTGTGGTGGCAATTTTTCCTAATGTTTGTTTATGACGACGTAGTTTATGCTCAAACTTGGCATTTACCCTGAAAAACTGTATCGAGCCACCTTCATACGCCAGTACTGCCTATGTTGTTGGAATATGGCCCTCTTTCTTTTCGACTCTTTTGTAAAAATTTGGGACACTTGCGAGAATTTTTTGGGCAAATGGTTTACCGCCCCTCTGGCAAAAAATTTCCCGTACGCCTATGGAAATTCCACTGTTGCTACCAGCGAAATTTCCGGTTTTTTTTCCTAAATGGAAAGCGCCCTATGTTCCACTCGTTCCACAATCGGTCAAAACACAAGGACATGCAAATTGTGGCGTGTTAACCTTGCTTATATGTTCTATCACTCAGGGGCAGCCAACGAGGATATGGTTCAAAACCACTTAACATAGCATTGTTGAACGTATTTTAGTATTCAAACGGTAGATGTAGGCATATTTTTATCCCCTATTCTAAAAACTTTTCGTCTGTTCGGATTTCCTAGCTGAAAGTCTAGTGATCCGAAAATTATAGGGATAAAAACTTACCTTCTCGAAAATTTCAGCCAGGAAAAGGCTCCCGAAAATTCTAGGTGGCCTTTTTTAGGGTCAAAATCCGTTAAAAATGGGTAATTATACCATTTTGTAGATGTTCGAAAATCGTAGGAGAGGCAGGCAACAAGATTTTTTACAACAAATGCTCCGAAAATTCTAGATCTCAAATCGTCTTCCGAACAGATATTTTCCCGAAAATTGCCGTTACTATTTGAGATTTTATTTCCTCTCTTTGCTGCTGCCGATTATCTGAACATGACGGTGTCCAACAAGAGAGCTGTTGCTACTTTGGACACTGTACACAAATGACCTTATAGTGTAATGTAACCTTAAATATGATACACTGGGGCTTAGACAGCAGATTCACGCGTTAAACCTTGTGAAGAAATGTGTAAATAAATAAGCGCTGCCAGCAATTTTTGAATGGACTACTTTTATTTTAATGGTGATATCGTACAGAGAAAAACGCGGCAAAGTAGTCATCTCCGTCTTCCCTCCATCAAATTAGAATTTACGAAAAAAGCTTTTTATCATCATGGACGTGAAGTTTTTAATCGTAATTTGTAGTTTTTATTAATACCTTGTAGTAATTTTTATCCTTTTTTAGAATATTTTTCTATTAGCTTAGTTAGGACTATTTTAAAGTATTTTTAACATATTTTTAGATTTCTTTTTTATTTAGGGCCTCTAAGGATATCAGTTTTGTAACTGTAAGAGTTACCCTAGCTAAATAAAAGTATCTTCTTCTTCATGTAGCTAGTAATTAGAACATCACCAGGATCCTAAGAACTAGCCGTTTCCCAGGCCAATGCCAAACCTAAGGGCCCGTTTATGTGCAGAAAACGTGCCCCGTATCGAAGGGTCAGTCGCCTTGACCGTCTACCCTAGGCTAGCCAACTTTTCCTACACTTTTTTTTTCAGGCTTCTTCTTTCCAATTGCTTAAATTGGAAAATTTACTGCGATGATCATTCTTCACTTTCATACTACACTCACTTTGGCTCGCCCAGCTGAGCTTGGAAGGAGAGAATCAGAGCATGTTCGAACTCTATTTTCATTGGGAAAACTGAGATGGTCATTTCTTGGCTTACGCAAAGGGGTCACATCTTTTTTGTATATTGCTACACACGCTTGACTGGGCTGGAAGGGTGACCCTCTCTCCCGAGGCAACTTTTCTCCATAAAAAAACGTAGCCTAAATACCTGTCCATAGCTGTCCGATCAGCCCCGCCCTAAAAATTTTAATGCCATACCTAGACAGCCATGATCAAATCTTTTTGTGCTTATGTGGTTTCAAAGCTGGAATGCTGGGATTTGAACATCCTCGGAGACCCAGGGGCAGATAGTGGGGGGGAAGGGGAATCTAAACGGGCGGAAAAATATGGCACGAAGAAAAGTAAAGAGCTCTTCTCGCCGTTCTTTACTTTTCTTCGTGCCACATTTTCCCGCCCGTTTAGACTTTCCCTCGCCCCCACTATCTGCCCCTGGGTCTCCGAGGATGGGATTTGAATAATGCAACAGAATTTAACCAGAGATTCCACAGAACAGGGCACAAAAATAGGAAAACAGACCAAGCAATAATTCAACTTTTTTGTATTTTAATCAAGCTTTTGCTCTCATTTCCGGAATACCTTTTTGGCGCTGTGCAGTACATAACATCAATCTAAGCTTCATGAGATATGATCAATTAGATAAATTAACTAAATATTCCTTTGGACAATAAATAAATGTATGTTTTTTTTTTCTCATATTGGCATGACCGACAGTCAATTCTCTTCCTCTTTCTATTTTTTTTCTTGAAAACTGGTCGGAAGTTTCAACAAATTACAATACGTTTAAATACTCTATGTTACACGTCTTCCGAAAATATCAACTTCTTGTAAAAATACTTCGTACAAAATTAACGAGACAAGTGGTATACAAAGTCGCATTTGCGATGAAATACCCCCACCCCACCCCCAATGAACACAATCTACATACCCAAATATGGAGCGAAAACTATCTGTCAAAAAACCGGATCATTAGGCCCAACTCACACGCTAAGACTTACCGGCCCGATTTTTGGAAACTGGGCGGAGTTTTGTATTCACTACGGTGTCGCCAAATGGCGCGAAAATCGGGACAAGAAAATCGCAGCGTGTAATTAAACTGGCCCAATGAGCCAGGTGGACTGCTCCTGAACACGTGACAACCAGACGCCTCCACCCTCCCCTCCCTAAGTTAATTTTGACATCCTTAAAATACAACAGCTAAAGCGAAGGTATGTATAAGTTCGAGTACTATACTTTGGAATAATTTCAACGTCTTTCTATGTGCTACGCTGTACAAAATAAGCTTGACTTGAGAATAATAAATAATTCACTTGACTGGAACATTTAAAAAACTTTTGTTAATTCTCAAACTGAATATACATAGAATTATGAACAAAATGGAAAAAAAGCAATCAGTTCTATTTCCTACTATAAAGTTACGTTTCTTTCAACGAAAGAACTAAAACCGCAAGAGTGTGAATGAAGTTACAGCACCCTGAATAAGCAACAGGACTCCACCTCAGGAAACCCCAAAGGCGCATTGAACACAGGTTATACAGCTATGTACAGTAAAAAGCCGCGACTAAGAACCTGGTTTAGGTTAAAATTTGCCAGTTGGGCACCCTTTACACGAGAGCCTGTTTAGCCTAAAATTTGAAACAGGTTCTAATTTTCTTCAATCTAGAAAAAAAAAATTCTGTTCACTTTGGCAAATAAGATAAGTCAACATTCAGCATCCTTTTTGGAGACATAGATGTCTTATCACTCCAACTGCAGGGTGACGGTATGCAGATTTTATAATTTATAAGGAATAAACTGAATATACCACTAAATACTCTTAGCGACAATGTTTTTTTTCCTTCAAAAAATAAGAACCTATTCAAGAACCTAAATAGCCAAAATTTGTGCTAATTACCATCCATGTAAGAGCCTGTTTAGGCTAACTTGGTAAAATGTGGGTTCTTAATCGCGGGCTTTTACTGTTTAACTTGATCTTACAGGCAAGAGTAAGGTAAGAAGGAAGTACGGGAATACACTAATTACTGTGACCGGTCGTTTCGCCTACGAGTCGTTTCGTTAACATCCCGTTCGCTAACGTCTTATGTCGTTACGCGTAAGAAGCGCTGCTTACGTAGATACCTCGTTCTCTCAGCCATGGTACGAAAAGTATGTATATACTCGTTCTTTCAGTCATTGATCAGGCGAAAGCAGTTGCCGAACTTACCTAACACGTTAGCGAAAAGCAGTTGAAACGTAAGTGAACAGGACGTGGGCGAAACGACTCGCAAGCGAAACGACCGTACGAATTATTACGCGTTGCGATTTAGTTTGTAATCTAATCCAAGGTAACCACTTCGATCCTTCGTCCATATTCAAAATGATCACCGCCAAAAAAGTTCATGACATTTCTGTCGTCGTAATCGCTGACATACACACAGTCCTCCTTCATCATGTCTTGTTGAATCGAGTCTCGCAGCTGCCGTGACTTGCGCACGAGGGTTTGCAGCTGAACACTCGCCATTTCCGACAATTTCATGCGGATTTTGTTGAAGTCCGAGCGATAACCCGTCTCCAAAAACCTGAAACGAAACAGACTTGCCATTAGGGGACTCAAAACAGGGCGATATCAAATAATTGGGAGTTTAAGATTCCAACGCTGGCGACGGCAAAGGGAACGTGAAAAATGCAACAGCTTTGCACGTGCATCACACTTTTTTGTACATTTCGATGCTGTCACTGCACGACAACGACGTGAAAAAGCCGCATTTCACCTTTTATGGAGGACATACGTAAGTGACGGTTTTAAGGAATTCGGCTCCAAAAGAGCTCGCTTGCATATGAAAAAGTAAGCGAGTTGGAATAAACGGGATAGACATTTTAAAAAAACGCAAATTCTCTTTTTAAAAGCGACATTTTCATGGCCGTTGCCGTCGTGGCATCTTAAAATGCCTAAAGACAATTTAGGCGGGGAAAGTGGTCATTAGAAGGCCACTACCAATTATAATCGGCAAGGCTTTTCTTGGTCCTAAAGGAAACCACAAATCCTAGTGGCGGCGAGTAACATAAAACCCACAACAAGTGCCTAATATCATTGCTATAGTTTCAGTTCCGCACAAGAAGTGCAGGATTAGCGCAAATGAAAACCGCCAAAACTCGCAGCGGAAACAGGTTCAATCAAACTCTTGTTTTGGAGGCCCTAAGTATAAGTTGACTAAGCTTTGAGCAATATCCGATTTAAACAAAAGGAAAAAGAGTTTTGCAAAACCGAAGCCAAAATCGCACCACTTGAAGTGGTCGGCAATCATTTTTCTGCTCTCTTTACAAGATCAAGACAAATGGCTTTTTTTGTGAAAAGAATAATTAAACCAGACGCCAAAACAATTTTAGCGGCATTAGTGTTTGTTCAACTGTGTTCATACTTCAACAAGAATTGATGAACAGATCCGCCCGCACCTGAGGCTACGAAAAAGTGTGCTACCGACAAGATTACACAAACAAAAAAAAAACGTCCACAATGAATATTAAACCCGACCACGTTGCATCTCCGGGCATCAAATTCTCTCCGTTAACTCAAATCGCGAGAAGCGTGGCTGTCTAGTCCGCGAAACTGGATTGTCCGCTTTCTTTTCTGCCGTATTTTTATTAAATCAACGCGCGCGCGTGAAGACCACTCAAGTGCGTCCGTGAACTAATCGCGCTCGCCCGCCGATTCACGCCGGTTTCTTTCAGTTTACATTGAGAAAATAGAAAAGTACATTTCGAGACGCATTCACTTTTCTTTCAGTTATTTTCGTTTTTTTTTCTTTCACCTCTCTTCGTCAAAATTGATTGATGAGTGATCCTAGACTACGAACGAAATTCAAGCACGAGTGTCTTACCTTTGAACCAAGCTTGAAACACAGTCAGCTGAGAAGTGGGAGGAAGATATATCAGATGATAAACAGGCCGGTCTAAGCGGCCTCATAACATAGTCTCCAAGCAGCGTGTGAAGCCAGCTATTATCCTTAAACCAAGCTACCACGATCTCTTTCCTTTCAAAAAACATCTTCAGTCGAGTGAAGTCTTCGAGATTTCCCTTCTCAAGAAATTCCCTAAGAAAGAGGAAAACAAAACGACTTTTGAGTGATTTCGAAAAAGTGGAAAATGCTTGAGGCTGAGTAATACTTCAAAAATCAAAGTAACAACAAAGTGGCGTATATTGCACAACAAATACAGAGATTCACCGAAACAGAAACACGTACTTAAAAGCCTAAAAAGCCTTGATGGCGTTACGATGACGCCAAAACGTCTACTTTTTACGCTATTTTTTGTTCCTGTTTGCCAAATACAAGGACACACTTATTTTCACTCTATAATATGCCTAACGCCTTAGCACTTTCTTTAATATGGCGACATGTTAAACGTAGTTCTAACTTTTGAGCCACGTCCTACTTCCTTTGACCTCTGTAGGATACTTTCGCAGGAAACATAAACCGTTTGTTTTCCAGTACAGTGGAGCCCCGTTAATACGGTCACCAATAGGCCGAAAACATTTGGCAGTAACAACGAGATGACCGTATTAACGAGGGTTTCGTTACAAGAAAATGTATGGTCGTTTTTGCCGGGCGGCCAAAAAAGTGGCCGTAATAACGACGGGGTTCCATTGTATTAAAGAATATAACAGATTATATAACAGACTTGTAAATTTGTACAGTTTTCACGTTTTCCTAAGAAAAAAGTAGCCGTTTTCTCGTTAGTACTAAAATGTTCAATTATCATCACAATATTATGGCTAGGTTCGATTTGGTGTACAGAGAACTTTTTTTTAACACGAAAAACATGACTCGGTTACCCGAAAAAAAAAACAGTAAGGCTGACATTCCTTAAATATTTAAAACTCCTTCGATATTTTAAACTTCACAGCTAACGTAGTCGAGGACGTGACGAGGAAAACAATCTCAAGCAATAACTCAAATATCGGGCCTCTAAAAGCAAGAACATCAATAGCTGTTACGTTTTGTTTCGCTTTTATGATACGATATTAGGAATTGGACTTGCAGATATATTATGTCCAAATACAGACACAGTCTTTTCAAAATATAGCCTGATATTTATTTCCATTGTCTGAGAATGACAAAGACTAAACTAAAATAAGCATCGGTGAAATGAAAAAACAGAAATGCGAGATCAGAAATGATTCAATCGTAAATGTAAATCTGTAATCTCTACGCTTCAACGCATTATCTGCGAAGGGATATAAGTCTATAGCCGGGAGCAGTTCTTAACCACACTATAAGGCATTTCTATGTCCAAATGATATTCAAAGATTGTTATGACGGCTATGTGGCAATGTTGTGCATGTGGCTTAAAAATATAGCTAATTATGTCCCAATCTCTTCCCACAAGCCCGAATATCGCGGATCATAAATTGAAATACTGATCAGTTAACCTCAAGGGGGTGCTTGAGAAAGGTTTTTGTGATCTTACTTGTTTAGCACACGACCGAAAGCAAATATGTTCAAGTGACGAACTAACGAGTAAGAATACAATATAAGTGTTTGTTGATCATGTGCTAATGCGAGACACCAAGACTCTGCCGCCAAAGCACTTAAAAGACTTGGGTGAGAAAAACGCTCAAATGCGTCAAAAGCACAGTTGCTTCAAATAGAAACAATAGACATCGAACAAAAGGCTTCCAGAAGGTCCTGCAGAGCAGAAAATTCGCTATATTTCAAAAGAGTCAGGTCAGGAGTTGTTACAAGTCATCATTTGACAGTGAACAAATTATCTTTAGTAAAACGGAAGAAGAGAAGTAAAAGTGAACTATAAGAACTAATGAATAAAAACGTTAGTTTCTTGAGAAACTGTGGCAATGCTTTCTTAGGGAAGTAACGAATATTGAGCGCAGGGTTTGTATATTTTTCCAGTGGGTAATGGAAATTAACACGGATCATAAAATACAAACTATGACAAAGTTCCTTTAAAGTCAATTCTGGACTAGCTGTCAAAGCAGGGCAATTTTACAACTGAATTCCCTTAAAAAAACCCTAAGTGAGATCAGCACCTAATTTCTCCTTGTAATATCAACGCTTTGTAAAACAGAGTGGTCATGAGAATTACGGACATGACCACACAAGATGAATTTGCTTGATATTTTATCAACTTCTCCCCACTACTTCTGTAGAAAATGATTAGGAGCAACAAATGAGAATTCAAATTTTGATCTTACGGTTTAAAGGATAAATAACGAGAAAACTGGAGATAAAGTAAACTAGCATCTGTAAAGAATTTTTAAAAAAACCGAGGCTGAAACAACAATAAGCTGAAAGAGCGCCGACAGTCAAGTACTTTGGTGAAGAATAAAGGCAATTGAACTGACACACTCGAGCGGCTCTATTACTGAACGCAAAGGATGACTTCATTTTGCCTCAAGTGGCTCATTAATTAAAATACTAACAACATAATTTCAATAGGCTATGAGTAGGGTCTGCGTCACTTTGAAAATACCGATGCCTTTAAAGAAAAATTTCAAACTATGGGTAAATAGCTTTTTAATACTTTATGCAAACAGGCTTGAAATCTAAATTTCTAGTATATTGATAAAGGCCAAGTTAAAAAATAAACAACGATTTTGTCTTCTTCACTTGTTTAGTTACGACAGTACAGACTGTTGCCGAGGTAACAGACTATCAAAAATAAAATTGATCTTGCCTAGCCAACACTGTCTAAAATACAATAAAAAAAGCCATCCAGTCGTTTTTCTCAGTCGTAAATAGAGAAGAAAGTACAGTAGACTGGCCATCCTGCAGGTCATATACAATGTACTATCGCTAGCCATTAGCAGTGTTTATCGACCCATTTAGCAAATCGACACAACACAAACTTTGAAGGAACTTGAAGAAACAAACAAGTGGCAGTAACTGAGCCACTTACCACAGCTTTAGTATTCCATGACTTTTAAGGGATGACAATTACATTCCATGACTAAGTGTTATTCCTAAATTTCACAACTTTCTGGATTTTCCATGACCTGTACGAACCATGTAATTTAACAGGGAATTTATGTCCGGTATAGCTACTGTCCTAGGATCTTTACCTGTAACACTTGTGCCGTCGTACAACTGAATTTGGCCTGTGTTCCTTTCTGTATGCAGTGCCTTTGCGGTTCTGCCACACCCAAACTTCATGAAGTCTTTCAATGTAAGGTTTAGCCTTGCTCATGAAATCATTCACAGTTAACTCAATCTCCTCTGCATGTCTTGATAGCTGTTGACCAGTAAATAACACAGTAGATTAACAAAGATGAGAAATGGCATTCTTGGGTTCTTGCTTATTAGGATGTTGGAGTGTAGTTAAAGAACCGCTACGATTGTCACTTCTTTTTTTTGCAATTTTTTTTTCAAGCGATAAAAAAGCAAGGAGAGCAAAAGTAAATGAAGAAGTTACAAAAATTCACTACAGCTGAATCAGAACATGGATCACCTAAACAAGCAAGGGAGGAAAACAACAAACAATATTTATCAGAACTTCCTTGATAAACTGCAACATACCTCGCCATTGACATACTCAAGGCATGCCCTGTAATCCTCAGCCACTAGTTCACCTTGACGAGGTACCCACAGCTTAATGCTCTTGGCATCTAACCAGTTCTTGAAATATCCACAAAAGTCTGCGTATGCTTTGACTGTTTGGAACCCACCTTTGAGGTGTCCATCTATGTACATTGCTGTTATCTGGTACAAAAAGAATTGAAAACCAGTGAGTTTCATTAACGCGGAATACAAGTACAGTGGATGCATTCTGCACTGTCGTCCTGATAAACCTAAAGAAAAACATTCCCTCCCGTCACCAAGAAACTATTTCCAATTTGCTCCAAGCCCCTGTTTCAAAGCAAGGTTAAGTTCAAGGCCATTGAGATGAAAGTATTTTTTATTCTCATGCAAACAGAGCATTTTCACAAAGAAGATTTTGCACTTAGCCTCCTTTTAAAAGTGAGGGTTTTTGGAATTCAGATATGGGAAAGTGGTGTTTTTACATAAGAAACTGTGTATTTCCACCTAGCAATACAAAGACTGTTCTGACAAAGAAAATTCACGACTCACAAATGTTTGGGGGTTGATAAAATAAAACATTATATTGTCTACCAACTGAAAATTATTTCATTTGGTGTTGCCTTTAAGTTTCAAGCCTGCAAACCCAGTAAGTATGAACTACTTTGTTTATAGTCACATAAAGGTGCCCACCCAATGGCCACCTCTGATACACCCACTTGCCCACCCACGCATGTGCTATAACCAGTCTTTAGTTAGAAGAAGCTAATTGATTTGGGCTACACGTTTTTTTATTCCTATTTTAACACTACGTTGCTGGCTTGCAACAAAGAAGTGCAGCAATAAAATCAATGTAAATCAATGTCTCCTGAGCTTTTAATGTGACAACCTGAATCTCTAGCCACTGTCAAACGTCGTTAATACAGACACAAACAGAGTACCTGTATTAACAGGGTGTCTGTATTAAGTGGGTTGAATTTAGAGAACATGTAAGGACTTTCTTTTCCCAGGGACAAAGAAAACTGTCCGTAACAATGACATGTCCACATAAGTGTATGTCCATAAAGCGGATTTTGACTGTATTTGGTATTCACGTTGTTTGTATTCTATGGTGTAACGATATTAATTTTAAAACCTCTTCTGTGGTGCCATTACCAACTTTGTTAAAATTATTTTTATCTTGCATGCACCTATCCCTTATTTCTTTGGCAAAGCTAAGACATCTATATGCAGGCTGATGATATGGGTGTCTGTATTAAGTGGGTTGAATTTACAGAACATGTAAGGACTTTCTTTTCCCAGGCACAAAAAAAACTGGCCGTAACAATGACATGTCTGCATAAGTGTATGTCCATAAAGCAGGTTTTGACTGTATTTGGTATTCAAGTTGTATGTATTCTATGGTGTAACATATGAATTTTAAAACCTCTTCTGTGGTGCCATTACCAACTTTGTTAAAATAATTTTTATCTTGCATGCACCTATCCCTTATTTCCTTGGCAAAGCTAAGACATCAATATGCAGGCTGATGAAATTTAAGATTTTTTCTCAAGATATTGATGGTGGGCACTTTTGGTTGTACACCAGAAGGTCCGATTTAAATTTTCCATGTACCTGGTGAAGCATATAGCTGTGTGTTACTCTTGGCATATGCTCTGTTAATGCTTTTAGTGCCTTCCTATTTCCTGCATCTCTGTCCTCTAAAAACTGATACCACTTCTGTTGCCGCGAAGAATGCAAAGAAAGTTGAAAGTGCTCCTCAAGAGCTTGTCGATTTCTCAGGCATCTCTTGAGAACATAAGTCTGCATTTGCCTAATTCCTCCATGTTTCCTAACAAAAAGTTTGTATAAACTAGTCCATTCATAGTAATTAGATGGGAAGTCCTCGTGAATATCTCTCCCTGCAAGTGAAACAAATGGAAAACTCAGAGACATCATAATAAATTATCCAAATGTAACATTTGGAAGCTTTTCAGAGGGTAATATTGGTATGAATTTTTAATGCCACTCAGAATGCTATTACAAGGACAATCTCCCAAAGGAGCACATACATTTCATTTTTTAACCACTTAGCACATTTTTGCTTCAGTTAAAAATGCCCCACTCAAAAAAATTGGAAAAAAGGGGTCATCAAGACACTACTGGTATTCATCCTATACATTGTAGCTTGTAGGAAATGGACAACAACATACTTGAATTCTGGCAATGCAGAATTTCAAGGGTCTTAATTCAACTGGTATAGATGTACATTTGTATACTCTCCAACAATAACAAAAGAGAACTTATCACAGAATTAACTGAACATACCTCTATCTGATTCATGGTAATTTGATTCTAACTCTTCATCTGTTAATCCCCATATTGACTTTGCTTGGCTCGCTGTTAAATGGCTAACACTTTGAGAAGGAGGAACTGGGTTTAGAAGATACCAAACTATAACAGAAGTTTTAAGTTGACTAACTGGTCTGAAAAAATTGTGATCATTTTTAAGAACTTCGGCTTTGTAGAACATTTCGTAGAGGTAAATGAAAGTATATTCTGACCATCTTGTTGCCAGACCAAAATCCACCTGAAATAAGAAGCAAAACAAGAGATGACATATTATTGGAGAATGCCTGCCTTTTATGATTGATTATGCTTACAAGATCAAAATGTGCCCTTGGAAGAAGTGGCCTGTAAGAACAGATGGCCTTCCCTGCTTTAGCTCAGATGTCAAGCTGAAGGTCTTTGTTGAGCAAGTCAAACAAAAGCAAGGAGAGGGCCATTTGATCTTATTAAGCTACCCTGTATAGATGAGTGAAGTATGCTTAACAGGAATATAATAATTTCACCATAGAAATGGGGTTCCAAAGCCTATACTTTGCTTTATTGCTACAGGTCTCTTTTGTATGGTGTAAAGGTGACCACACTTCTCAGGCAATTACAGTATGTGAACTTTAATTTTACATGCTGACAATATTATACTAATGTTAACAAGTTACTATTGACTTTAAATTAAATAATACGAAAATGAAACAGCGCTGTAGCATATACCTGGAACTACAATCCCACCATACTATTTATCGTTCCTGAAAAGTTGAGCACTCTACAAAAATTATTTAAACCAGTTCAGAATTTAAAAAGGAATATATTAATGTGACAAACACTGTTGTACAGATTAATTAATGCCTTCTTCCCTTGTCATAGTTTCCAGCAGCTTAATTTAGCTGCTATTTGTGACATGACAAAAGGAAGCGATAATATAATTTTTCTAGAAATATATTAGTCTTACTATTAAAAACGAGTTGGAAACTTAATTTAGAGAACATTTGCCAGTTAGGTGACTTGTAAGAGTTGTAGAGTGTGCCTACTGGCAACCTGCACAGTGGTTTTAAATTACCCCTAAACAAAACATGGAAAATACAGTTTCATAATTACTTTATAGTCAACTAAGCAGCTAAATATTTGTAGGCAAAACAGGAGGCATATTTGTTTAGTACATGTTAATGCACAATTTAAGACATTAATTATCGGTTTTCAGAAAATTTCAATAAAGTTAAGAACGTTTTTAAGCAAAACTGATTGGGTTAAAGGAAAAAGGAAACAGGGCAAAACAACATATTAAACTAGAAAATTTTATATTCTGTTGTTTTCGCCAACAAAGGGGACTAGCATATGTATTTGCGTTGGCAAAGGAGGGAAAGCACCAATATTGCCAACCCCTCTGTCAGATTTAAAATTGAGGGTTCTGCGATATAAGAGGATTTTAATTTCCATGGTAGAAAATATTCTGGATTTTTTCATGTTTAAACTTTGAAAGAGTTTGTCAAAACGAGAACAAGGTATCAATGCAATGAGGATTGCTGTACAACCATTTTGACACTAAATGTGCAACTAGAAATATAATTGCACTTTAAAGAAAAGCTTGATGTTTACTAATACGTTTGAAAATAAAGTAAATACAATTTCCCCCAATTTTAAGCCATTAAGAACAGAGAAATACACTTTGCGGGTCAAGCTACATTGAAGGCTAAACTAGGAACATGTTCAAGTATTTTGCTGAACCTTGCAAAACTTATCTCCACGCCAGAGGAAAAAGGAATGTCACATATATGAGAAACTTTTCTGCCCAAAATCAAGAATATTGGGCTAACTGGGAACAAGCAATTATTATTAATGTCTTGCTAAAAGTGAACCTTGTTGTGGTGGTAATCCTGTAATGTAGGAATGCTTAGCTTTACGAAAAACTGAACATCACTCAGGAACAAAGTAATAAAGGTTGACAAAAAATCTGATAAAGTTCCACATTCTCCTTTTAAAAGCAGTTCTGAAGAGATTACATATAATTCAAATAGTGAAAATAAAAATTTGTTGCAAATCCTGGAAAATTATAACACTTACACTTTATATAGCTACTGATTCTTTTTGGTCGGCTTAAAATAAATGTGATATAAACCGGGAGACAGTCATGATATTACTGTTGAAAAGTATAGAATGTACATGTCCATTACATTAGGTTTGGGCATGTCAATTTAATCCAATTGGGACTGCTGTTGCAATAATTTTTTTTCATGAAACCCACAGCTTCCTCTAAAATTAATTAAACACCTTGTGTCCATTACTGTAAAAACTGAAATTTTCGGACCGCGAGAGCGATGGCTATGAATCGATAATTGCCTTTGGGAAAACCCCTAATGAAATGAAAACGGCTGCACTACACGATCGAAGTGGCCGGCTACAAGAAACAATTTTGACTCAACGCGAAGCTGAAGCACATAGACAGAAAGACCGCTTGTGGGCTTGACAACTATACTTTCTCCTTCGCTTGGAACTTGAGAAAATACCTGCAATTAGCGACAGACAGGAGCCTTTTTAAGAGAAATAAAGTGAATGTAGTTCAGTGGCCAAACACGGTGCAGCTGCCACAGGCCTGGCCAAAGAAATACAAAACAATCGATTCCGGTTCAGATAATATCGCGTAAATTTCCTTTCAAAAGCCTCAATTTATTTATTCATGTCCTCTTGTTCAAAAAAGCTGTGCATATTTCACTACTTGGACAAGCTCTTATACCATGCAAAATCAACACGGTGTTGACAAAGGAGACAGAGATGCCCGGTCTCCTCTTGAGAGCGAAAGCGAGGAGAGTTGAAACGGGAGAAAGGCATTAGCGACTTCATATATAGCATAAAATGATGTAGGTAATAAAGAAAGTATCACAAGAAGGCAAAGTATTCTGTCACAGTATTCAACACAAGCCCTCTATTCAACACCGACCACTTGGGTTCACTGAAATCGATCTCTTCATTACCATTTCAATAACCCTCCAACTTCACATGAAATGAGGCACGCCGACATACACCCTCTTTCCTTGCAACCCGGATACGCTAGGCGCTGAATGGAGCAAACACGCTCGATCGCTCAAAGAATCTTTTTCGCTCCATCATAACACAAATCCTTTCGCTCTTTTCTCCTCAACGTTTCACAGAATAATATCGCTGGGAAATACATCTCGAATTTCTTGCCAGCTTTCATATCTTGAATTATATATTAGACCTTAATGAAAAGCCTTGCCCTCTTCGCTACTTGTAACGCACGAATTTTTTCGAAATATCAAAATTTCGAGAAGCTTAAACCCAAAATAGAAATATTGCCTATTTGCTCATACTTCTCTGGACCAATTCGATTCAATTCGGGCGAAGAAAACCGAATTTCTACCAAATACTCTGCCCGAACGGGTATAACTACCACATGGCATTCGGAAATCGGAAATGGGAAACAGAAAATGCTTTTCTACATCATCAGGGACGAGGAAGGCAATAAAAAAAGACAACGCCACTCCAAAATGATAACCAAGCAAGCTCTGAGTAAGTTTGTAAAGAATAACGAACGGAGCGCCTCGAAGTTTACATTCCCAAACAAAGATTTTCCGCGGTTGTTTGGTCGCGGTGACGGGTTTGCTTGTAGTTTTCTCGGCTGCGAGGGACGATGTTTTGGGGTGGCATTCTCTTTACACCGAACAAAGACGAAGAAACGAAACAGCCAGAATTGCTCTGACACTCATAAAGAAACGACCTAATCCAAAACAACAATGAGTCGCTTCGTCCAAACTAACAAAATGATCCATAAACACAACTCACCCTACATCGATGACGCCATATGAGATCTGAGAGGCAGAGTCGGTGAAATAGACGACAAGTCTTGCCCATCATTACAAGACTCCTGAAGTCCAAATATTCTAAAATAAGAACTAGAACCTCTTCGCTTAAATGAGTCAACAACGATGGTGGCAAAATAATCCGGGACTCCATCTCTTCGGGTTGAAATATCCTTGTGTTTGTCGATAATCTATGTAAAGGCGGTACACAGTACGTAAACCTGGCAGAACTGGCGTTTCGGCAACTATGGGCCAATTTTTTCGCCTTAGGCGGGCAAAAATTTGAGTCCAACATGCTTGATGGCATCCTATTCTCAACGGACCACGGTTACGAAGAGACCCAAATGACTGCGGTCGACATAAAAGCTATAGATAAATAGAAAAACATAAAGGATACCTCCCTGTTAATGACACAATATCTCTAAGACCAAGAAGGAAGCTTTGTTGTTTTTATATTCTTTTGACACGTGCAGTTTCCCGTCAAATTACGCATGCCCATATCGGACCTGCCATTTTGCCAGCCAATCACGTTTCGCGGCGCGTGTTTAGAATTCTTGCTACATTGGGCTGGTGCTACTAATAAAACATAATTATCAAAGCTTTCCACACGAAACAGAAAATAGAATACACATGCACAAGCTAGCGGAACAAGAGAAACTTCAGCTTTGTGATACAAGCGCATCACAGCGTGGAGAACTAGTAACCTGTACGTGATATCTGCTGAATGGTGTCTCCATGCGCTCCGTTCGACGAAACTAGAAACAACTGGAACTCGGGGGGATAAACGACATCGGTAGCTCATGTGCTTCGAAATTTAATATCCCTTTTATTTATGTATTTTATTTTTACTCTAGTATCAAAGAGAAATGAAAGTTTCTGGTACAAGCATTTCGCTCAAACGTAACGTGCTCGGTGTGGAAGAGAAATTTCATTCGCTTTTCCGGCCTTTGTGAAGAAACGCTTTCGATCGGTTGCGACGCAACCAAAGTATGAGCCGGACTCTTCGTCTCGAGTACACATCTTTTATTTTTTTCTGATCTTGATCACGGTTATCCTTGCGATGTTTTTAATATAACGTGAAAGTACAGGCTGAAACGTGTCACCTTTCTTCAGATTTTCTTTCGCGAGGGGAATGCAAGGAAAAAACTGGAGGTATATCAGTTACTAAAACCGGTGAACAGGAGTTAAAACTGCAGAAAGCATCGATGACGTCAAGCGCACAAATCCAAGCAAATCTTTTATTATAGGAAATATCGTAAATCGGGTAGAATGAGTCAGCCGGGTAAAGAAAACACTCGCGGTACAAGGACAAGAAATTTATATTGCGTACATGCCAGAATGCGAATGTAAATGACAATATAGCCACCTTTTTCGCCTAAAGGCCTCTTTGAATTGAAAAATTCTTTGCAATATTTCTTTACAAAGATTAAACCGCACTTCAGTCGCTACTTAACACGGGTGAAAGACTTGTCGTTTCCTGCGCGATTAAGCGAGCTTGAAAGCGTTTAGATCGACAGAGACTTCATTCTGGTCTAAGCAGAGAAATAAGAGTCTTTGCAAACAGAAAAACGAGATGGGCCTTGATGATTCGTCGAAAAACACCTGAACCAATCAGCCAGCTGACAGTGGTTCCATTGTGGTTTACTTCTTTGTTCGGCTAATAAATGAAAAGTGAAATTTTAATTACTTCCCTTGACGCTGTCAGTCGTTATATTGGAACAGTGTTCGGGGAAATTTGCCTTGAGCTGAGGTGGCTGACCGGCCAACAGCACTCTGCATCAATTGACTAAACCGACTCCCTCGCCACCAAAACCGCCGATATAGCAGCGCTGGCAGCCTGGCCAATGAGAAGCTCACGTGGTTTTTCTCCCTACCGCAAGGGCAGCTGTCCCTGCAGTCGTTCGCTGGAGCTTTTGTCACGAGAGCGGGTAGATAGGCCGCCAATCAAAAAGGAAAAACGAGAGGAAATAATTTGCGAAATTAAGCGCAGTATTGAGTCGTTGACTTGCTAGTGAACAAAGACATTCTCATTGAAATTCGAGGGCTACATTCTTTACGCGTTAAGCCTTTTAAAGGTGGCTTACAACACATGCAAATAGACCTAATACACGGCTGACTGACAAATCGTTTACTGTCGAAAACATCGTCCTAAAACAACAAAGAAAGGCGTTAGGCGATGAAGGCGGACTCAAAGTGGTCGTAAATTTGCATCTACAAAGGTCGTTAGTATTGTAAACACAGCCATAATTGTGTTATACATCAGTCGCTCCTGCCTTGTGAATGAGCGCGAACGCGGCACGTTCTATTAATATTTAACATATCTGCGTGACGTCATCCCATTTTGATAAACGCGTAATGATTATCGGCCATTGAGAAGACTAATGGCTGACCTTAGGGAGTCGTGTCATGGCAATACGAGCACCAACTTATTGCGACTTTCAGAGATATTGGTCCGTACAGCTGCTAAATGACCTCACCAAACTCGCTTAGCCATTCGCTAAAAACGGGCTCCATATCGCTTTTGAAGGACTTTGTTTTGAGCTTATTTCCCGGTAAAGTTGGACAATCAAAGGCGGAGTGTTTAGATGTATTGCACATCTTAAAAAATACAACTTAAGCAAGCGGGGAACAGCGATTTAGTCAACAAGCCAGCAAAAAGAGATGATCGCATTCGACATGAAAAGTTTCCCAGCCTCATTTTGAATGTGAATTCAAGTGAAACAGGTTTTTTTTGTTACCGTTATAAAGAAGGTGGTTTTTCCATTATATCTGCGCTTAGGAAAATCAATAAAGCTTCAGAAAGATTCTAAAGGATTCTGAACTGGGTTACACACCACCAATCGGCGCACTTCGTGGACAACCGATCGAAAGAACTAATTCTCTCTTAGATAAGCCTATATTTTCTCATTTATTTTATGGTCGGGAAGATGAAAAGACATAAAAAGATGAGTCGATTGTATTCTTTGGCTTTTCTAAACACCCAAGAAAAGCAAGCTATGGAAACCACAATAGACTGAGAAAGAATGATAAAATAAATAACCTGCCTGGGGCGATATAATAAGCCTTTTGTCACGAAACAGGTCTTTTCATTTATCATCGTCGATGAGGCGAGCACTGACATGTATGCAATTCAAATGGCCGATCCTTCAAACCCTGAATTATTAAAATTTTCGTTTTGTTCCTCACGTCTTGTTGATCAGTTCATTAGCACCCTCCGCGCGAAATTTCCGTCGATAATCAAAGGTTTAATCCGAAGATCGTAAAACGGAAGGCACGAAGCCCACCCTAATGTGACGACTTCCTTGCCAACTGCTCTTAAGCTTACAAGAACGCCGGTAACAACGACTTGGTAGCGATTGTCAGAGAAAAGGTTTTGACAAGTTGGATAATAAAACAAACAGTTTAGTGCTCTTTTTAAAAAAGAAGAATATTGATAAAAATAGGGCACGCGAGCATAAATCATTTGTATTAGCCTAGAATGTATTTTGAGAACTACTGACTTCAATCATATACATCGGTAAATTTCTTGTTCAAGGACGATCTCATTAATATATATTCATTACGGAGGTTGTCTTTCAAATCAAAATACGACAAAACTGCTGGAAGAGCCACCCGTTTACATTTCAAGGCAAACCACAGACGCCTTTTTCCTGGATAGCATAACAGAGCTGCTTTATCTCTTGAACGTTCTTAACTATTGTGCCGAAAAATTCTCCGTCCCCAAATACACTCAACATTGTCTGTCGATACTGAAATACTTGCCTCTCTTTGTAAGTTCTTGAGAAAACGGATCATGCACCCAACATAATCTAAAAATATCAACAAAAATGGCTAATTTTAACCGCTAAGCTGCCAAAAGGAACTTCGATTTATTTTATTGCCCGTGAAATGCTAAAAGGAGTGACCAAACTAGGGATCAGGTAACTTGCACTCAAGCGCTTCTTCTAATTCAGCCAGTCTTAGCTTACATTAGAAATATAGGCCAAGAGGGTGATGTCCGACGAACTTAATTTTGACAGCTGGGGAAGATTTTCTTGCCAAGTTTGACCTTTCGAAGTAGATATGGGAACACAAGCAATGTTGCAAATTAAGAATTTTATTGTTTTAGTGATGCTGAATTCATGTCAGAACGATAAAAATTAAGGCGAAGTGTTTCGCTTTTTCCGTCATGATTGGTCAAGCCGACTTTACAGCACCAAGAGCCAGTCCTATTGTGGCTCTTGACAACACCGATGTCCTCAGCCAGAAATTACTAAGCTAAACCACACCAATTACTTTTTACAGCTGGAGTTTTTAAATCTACAGCTGAGTGGAATTCCCGTGGTTGCTCCTTTTCAAGATGTAACGCCTGTACGACTTGAAATCAAGATATATTCCGCAAAGGAAATCGAAAAACCAAAAAAATTTACGCCTCTTTTCCCTTTTTTGTCGGTGTAGTGAAAGAAAAAATCATCGCTTTTTCGCACTATTATTAAATTTCCTTGCGTTCTTATTGTTATCTCTCACTTTTTTGCTTCCAGTAAGAGCTATCATTCAAAACAAGCAAAAGTACCAATGGGTAACTTTCAAGAGAAACATAAATGTGAACTGGAAAAAACGAGACGGCTAAAACGACCTTTAAAAAACACTTTCTTTTCAAACAATCGCAGCATAAGATGTTATACCATCTTGAAATTTGTTAGAGATGAGATTTTTCCTAAGGATAAAATCGGACACCGATAAAGTCATGAGAGAAAACTTGATTAATTGTGTGAAAACAAGGTTGCAACAGCTGGTTCAAACAACGAAAAGGAGGAGGATCCGTGCTATCCGCTAAAAGAACGCTGAAAAACTAACTAAATAAATAAGTTTGTTTTAAAACAAAAGCCTTTTCAAAAAATTTATTTGTTGTTTGGTTTTTTAGATTGCGTCTGTCTTTTCTTGAATTTCCGCCTTAAGGATCAGTTTTGCCTCTTGTTTTTACAGTTGTTCAAGATTTTCTGCTTATTCAAATCTTTGACATAGATCCGGCCGAACTGCTCAAGGTTTTGTACGGAGTTCATGTAGTTTTAAGCTTTAACAAATACAGTGTTATGACAAGACCGAGGCGTACGATCGTTTACTGACAGAGAATGCAGAGAGACGCAAGGCTGTTAAGCTGTTAGGAGTAACAACCGAGCTCTTTGAGGGTAAAATAGCCAAACTATACATACAAGCTACGTTTCCTTGTGGTTAGGTGCCGCGGAATGAAAATCTGTTTACTGTGATTTCGATAATTTTCATGACGCGTCGGATATGATGAGTTTTAATCTAATAATTCAGGTTAGTACGAGGAATTAGTTCTTAATGACTCTCGGGAGTATTAAATTAAATCTCTTCGCATTTTTCCTTCACCGACGTTCCTAGACCCATGCCTTAATGCCCCACTGTGGAGTGGTTGTCCCGCCGAATTTGGGATGGGCTCTTTCCCAGCTGGACTTCCAGCAGGAAAAACGAGTTCATCTAGATAATCATATCAGAGCAAACGGCAATATACGTAAACAAACTGAAACTAAACCACCCTCGCGGATTAAAAATATCGCCAGAAGAGGTGATCCGCTCAGCTAATATGTGCTTCTCATCACAAGATTGCAAGAATTTCGAGAATATAAAACGCCGTGGAAGAAGCGAAAACAAGAGCTATATGTGCATATTTATCTTTGCCCTCGTGTTTTGAATTTTCTTACTTTCACCCAAAGATCAGTATCGTATTTTTAAAGATTTTCCTGTGAAACTTTTGAACGTATACTGTGAAAATCGTGTTGTTCTTAACATTGTTTTCATTTTTTCGCCAATACTGTGACCGCATCGTGCTTGTACTGGCTTTACCCCGATACATTTATTGTATTTGGGATAATTCTTCTCAGTCAGGCAAACAGCACGTATTCAGCGTTGCACATTTCAATGCTTTTGTTGACGAATTATAAATATTGTTTTCTAAAGATGACACACATGTTTCCACACAATACATCAAATACTTTGCATCGTGACCGTCATTGATCGAAATTGTTTTCAAAGAAGAAAACGTGACGATATGCCGATGCAGTCACACCGAGGGGCCTCTGACCCGACCCCAGCTTCCGGTGCTATTACAACTTCCTGTAACTTAGCCGTGATTCTATTGTACAGCGGAATAACCATATCATGACATCATCCAACATGGCGGACGAACGTGATTTGGATGTAAACAAAGCCAAACTCCGAGAAGTAGAGAGAACTTCACTGGCTTCCGATTATGACCCTGAAAAGCTACGAATTAATTTTCTAAACCGTACTAAGCCTGTGGTTTTTCATGGAGCAGCTTCGCTATGGCCCTGTTCTCGATGGAGCCCGGAATTTTTGGCGTCCGAACTTGGTGACCTTAGAACAAAGTTTCGTTTTTGTGTTCGTGAGAAGTCGCCCTCAAATGAAAATGGTTTCAAAAGAGCAATTATGGAGACAGAGTGCGAATTCGAGGAGGCGACCTTTCTAGAGTTTGTTCAATGGGTGAATGGCTTCTCAGAAAAATCGGGACTTTTGTCGCGTTTCCAAAGGTAATCACTTTCAAGCATTGTTAATATAATAATCTCAGGTCCTATGATATCCGGTTGAATTTGTAGGGTGTGTCGCATTATATTCAAGTCCAGCAATCGTCTCAGTTGATCTTGACCTTTATCTTACATAACAAAAACAAACAACTTATCTTGTGCCTCTCTGGTGCTTAATAAACGTGCAACAAAAGCACGCTGTCCTGGCCTATCTCAATATTGGTTGCCCTCTTCTTTGTAATTATTTTAATTAGCGTTGAAATATTGCTTGAGTGTATTATCAACAAAATTAAATCGGCTAACGTATGGGAAATAACAATTAATGGTGAATACCACTGAAATTATTTAAAGATAAGTATGTCTTTATATTGGCCGGGTTGTTATCGGACTGGACAAGTCGACAGGATGACTCTGATTAGTGGAGAACAATGTTAATATATTCCACCTGTTATTTCATAATTGTATTGTCAATTTGCATATATCAACACGGCTGAGATGGTTTTCTTTGAGTTGAGCGCCAAAACGTGACTTGATTGATGTCTGTTTATAAAGGACTCAAGTATTGAACACTAGAGATTTATCTGGATTCTTAATGAATAATCATTCATAAAGGCCGAGACAGGAAGACAAGGACATTTCTAGAAATAAAAACAGGGCAGAATTCTTAATCTAATAAACTAATTTTGGAAGACATTCTACAAATGTCCATCTTGTATAACTGTATTCAACCTTACTGAACCTTGCCTAGAGAACACGGTCAATAAAAGACCAACGTTGGGAAAAAAACTTCAACTGGTTTCAATTTATAGATCAAATATGAGCATGCAATAATATTACTGTCCTTACCAGGCATGAATAAATAGAAAGTATTGCATCAGAGATACATCTTTTTTGCATGTAAGGCTCTGATTCTATTTTTGCCTTCCTTTCCTTTGTCTGCGAATCTATGGAAACTAAAGATCCCAAAATGGGGCAGTAGAAAAACGACAAAAAAAGGAAAGAAAAGAAAAAGAAAAAATGGGAAAGAACAAAAAGAAGGTATAAATGTTCTATTTACATTAAAGTCAGCAATATGGAGACTCTTCTGGCTCTTCCTTTACCTCTTACATATATTACTTACTTTAATGTAATTGCTTGAGCCTCATCGCATTATAGGGAGCATAAGGCCTGTCAACAATCTTATGATATAAATCAAGAGAATTTCTATAAAAATCTTTTAAGGTGGCTCGACTGGATTTTTTGGGGTTGATACCTCCCCCGTTTGAGCATTAACTACGTCGGCATGAGTAAAGATATGGAAAAAAGGTTACCACAACTGTATTATATAAAGATGAAAATTTCTTATGATCTGGGTTTTATTGCAATCGGAGTCGCCATGGCAACGTAATGACGCCATTACGTTTTTCATTTATTGTTGTGTTTTCCTGTGCCAGGAGTTTTTTGAAGAAATCGCTTAAGGGAGTATGTACCTGCCATAATTACCTCCATTATGGCAAAGTTTGAAGAAATTCTATGAGAGCGTTTTCGAGATATTTCGAAATGCAGTTTTAACAATCATCAAAGCAGTGAAATAGCATGCTAGCAGCTCAATTCGCTAATATTTTAAGAAAATGATAAGCTTTGGGAACGCAGCTTCATCTCTTAGTGGTTTGATTCCATTGAAAACTGCATACAAAAAAAGAGGGGAATTGCTCTGGGCGATCGCTAGTAAGAAGAATTTTATTAACTTGCATTCAGCTGCTTTTGATACAGTTTTTGGAGGTAATTTGGTCCATGCCTAAAAATTTCGCATTTTTCCAAAAACCGCTCGATAAATTTTTTTATAAATTCGACAATTCCGAGATCAGTCGTCAAGAAATATTCCCTGCAAGTTTCAAGAACATTGAAAACAGGGAAGGCTTTTAAATAGGGACTCCAACATAACCAATTTTCCCCCCAGATTTTGTGTTCACAAGTGAGCGTCCTTATTATTCACTGGCATTGTTTTCAAGTTTCATATGCACGTGCACAAGTAGCAAAAGATATAAATTTGCATCAAAAATTACTTTCCGAAGAAATATCCGGTATATGCTAATAATTGGCTTGTAGTCACAGATAGCAATGAGAGCCGAAACGGTGAACGTCACGGCTCATCGTGTAGGAAGCAATACTTAATTATCTTAATTGGGTTATAACATCACAGAAACTCTCACAAAGAATTGCTCTGATGTTATAATGTATCACTAACCTCTTTACCCGGTAATTAGCATATCCCGGAGCTTTAACCAAGGGTCCTTTTTGATGCAAATTCTATCTTTTTGCTAAATGTGCACGTGTATATGAAACTTGAAAACAATGCCAGTGAATAATAAGGACGCTCGCTTGTAAACACAAAATCTGGGGGGAAAATTGGCTATATTTGAGGCCCTATTTAAAAGCCTTCCCCGTTTTCAATGTTCTTAAAACTTGCAGAGAATATTTCTTGACGATTGATCTCGGAATTGTCGAATTTATAAAAAAATTTATCGAGCGGTTTTTGGAAAAATGCGAAATTTTTAGGCGTGGACCAAATTACCTCCAAAAACTGTATCAAAAGCATCTGAATGCAAGTTAATAAAATCCTTCTTACTCGCGATCGCCTTGAGCAATTCCCCTCTTTTTTTGTATGTAGTTTTCATTGGAATCAATCCACTATCAGATGAAGCCGCGTTCCCAAAGCTTATCATTTTCTTAAAATATTAGCGAATTGTGCGGCTAGCATGCTATTTCACTGTTTTTATGATTCTTAAAACTGCATTTCAAAATATTTCGAAAACGCTCTCATAGAATTTCTTCAAACTTTGCCATAATGGAGGCAATTATGGCAGGTACATACTCCCTTAAGCGATTTCTTTAAAAAACTCCTGGTACAGAGAAACACAAAGATAAATGAAAAACGAAATGGCGTCATTACGTTGCCATGGCGACTCCGATTGCAATAAAACCCAGACCATAAGAAATTTTCATCTTTATGTAATACAGTTGTGGTAACCTTTTTTCCATATCTTTACTCTTGCCGACGTAGTTAATGCTCAAACTGGGGAGGTATCAACCCCAAAAAATCCAGTCGAGCCACCTTAAGATCAATTCAGGGTACTCTCATGACCTTTTAGCCTGGTTTTAATTTGTGGGGAAAATCTGAGAATAAAAATGATTTCACTCTTTCCGGACTGTCTCAGATTTTACTGATATGTCAGACAAATCCAAGAGTCTGTTGCACATGTCATTCTGTTTTCTAATGTGAGGGTAAACACTGCAACCAAGCAATAAAGGTATCTTGTTATCAACCTGCAACCATTACTTACAGGTCTCTGACATTCAGAGGGTACAAAATTGAGTTTAAACAAGTCATGAATGATTGATAACCATTACAGAAATCTGGTACATGTTTCAAATTTGTCCTCAATATTCTCAGACAATAAATAGAGAGGAGAAGTCGTTACGTCATGTTGCCTTGGTAGCAAAATTTCTGGATGACAACAAAACTTCACTTAAAAAGTGAATTTGGACTGTTTAAATCTTATCGATCTTATTCAATTTCATTTAATTTATTAAATGTTGGCAACATTTTCTGGTGTTGAATCCGAAAGGAACATACTTAAGTGTAGAAAAAGAAAAAGAAAATATCTGTGTTGTGTTCACCTACTACATAAAGCAGGCGCATGAAATTAGGAGGTGTCATGTCACAGTCGTGCAATGACGGCTAAGAAATGTGCAAAAAAGCATGATGCACGTGCAGTTGTGCAGTTGTTGTTTTGCTAATCTACACCTATTTTTTTTTACTTTTCTTGTTGCCCTCGTCGTTATTGTTGCTTAAGCTCCTTATTGTTGTGGTCCAGAAATTGTGCGACCATGGTAACATGATGTCACACTTCTCCTCTCTATTGGAAATGTCCGTTATTTGGTTTATCCACCTAAGGTATAACAATTATAATTAATAATTATATTATTGTAACACTCCCTAAACTTACTGGTCCTTTCCTTGGCCTTTGCTTGTTGTTCTAAAAATGGAAAAAAACAATTTTGTTAAATTTTCAGAAATAGCTACTGGTGCTATGCAGATTACAAATACATGGCAGAACTGTTCAGAGACTTTCCACACCTTCGTCAATCAGTCAAATGGGACAGTTTTGGATTTCCACAAAGAAGTGGTGATGAATCAACAATTTGGATTGGGAGTGCTGAAGCATCAACACCTTGCCATTTTGATACCTATGGTTGTAATTTAGTGGCTCAGATTTATGGACAAAAGAAATGGACTCTGTTTCCACCTGAAGAAACACCAAAGTTATATCCAACAAGAATACCTTATGAAGAGTCCAGTGTATTTAGTCAAGTTAATATTGATAATCCAGACCTTAGTAGATTCCCTTCATTTGCAAGTGCTGTTCAATATGAGGTAATAATAATATTATTATTTATAATAATAACAATAATAATAATAGTTAATAATAATGATAATGATAATGGTATATTTAACAGATCCACAGGGTGGCTCTTCCCTGTTAAATTACATTAAAAATAAATTATGTTAATGACAAATCAAGTCCATTAAATAAGCTAGTAATTAAGCTATTCTGTTCTTATGGCTTGTGATACTTTTGTTTTCTTATGACAGGTGACCCTTGATCCAGGTGATGTTCTGTTTGTTCCTAAGAAATGGTGGCATTACGTGCAGTCATTAGACACCTCCATTAGCATCAATACATGGATTGAACTGGTAAGTCTTTGCCATAATCTTCAAGTCAATCTGATACGAACAGTTAAATATGTTTTACTGACTAAGCCCTAAAATACACATTCAAATGCTTCAGCCTGGTCTTCATACATTTCTTTAAATAATTGGTTGAGGGAATTTGATAAAAGATCAAAGTATTTTCCGTTTGGTCTCTTAATTAACCCCTCTACAACAATAATGTTATAAAAGCAGAACAAACAATAATATTACTTCATTGTATTCATCTGATCTTTATCTGATTTTTTTACTGTTAACTTTATTTATTTCTTGTGTAGGAAAGTGACCACATTGAAAGAGTCAGAGAAGCAATTATCAGGACTTTGGTGTGTACAAAACTCTGGAAGGTTTTTTTTTTTAAAAACCAAGTAAAGATGCTTAGTCATTATAGTCAGACAGTGACAACATTTCCAAACTTTCCTGTCAATTTGTGCTAGGTGTGTGCCTTAAAAAATGAGGAAGGAGCTGATGAATCAGTGTGGGTCAATCCCTCTGAGGTGAGACAATTTTGCATTTTGTCTTCCAGACTTCGCACCTCCACGTTCACAATTTTGTAGATTCAATAAAATCTCCATTTTTCAGGTTTGATTTAAATGGTAATAGTAACGTAGGATGTTGTCCACAGACTCAAAATGGTTTCTCTATACTAAGTTAGTTTATTGGGAGCAAAGTACAGAGGGTCATTAGCTTAATTGAGGTCAAGTGTACATTTACAAAAAGGTTGAGCTCCAGTTTGTCATGAGGGCATTGCATCTATGATCTAGTTAGTTGTTTTGCGATGTCAAAAGGTCCAGCACCCTAATCAATCAGCCTTGCTTCTCACATTAAAATAATTTATATCTCTGAATTTTTTTTTTCAATCCAGGACATAGGAACATATAGACAGAACATGGAATACTTACATCAAGCACTGAGTGCTGTCAAACAAAAGGAACATGAGAATGCAGAGAGGACCGCAGAAAACATCAAGGAACCACTTTGTAACCTAGAAGAAGCACAACAGCGAGTCCTTAATGAATACAAAGATGAACTATGCACTGATGATCTTATACACTGCATAACAACTCCTGATGTTGTTGATCTTCTGATGGAAAAATTACTAGGGAAATTTAGGATTTCTCAAATGTGTAGCTTACCTTTGAAATCCTCTCCAGGTGATGAGAAGGTTTGCTCTATGGACAAAATACCATTTTCAACAATTTCTAGTGAAGGAGGTGATCTTCACAAGACATCAGTGGGACAGGAAGTTGAAAAGCACCTGCCATGTAAACGGAAATGTATAGACAAATAAAACTGGTATTTACAAATAAAACTGGTATTTAATACCTTGAATAAAATTATGGACAAAGTAATCATCTATTCAATTCCTTGGGAAACCAAAGCATACAGTCCATGTTTTGATAATTAATATTTAAGTAAATTATCCAAATATACAAACCATGAGGTAATGTGTGGACAAAAGCCCTTTAAGAGTCTTGATTACATGTCAAATTCTTCCTTCGCCTTTCAAACAAACATGCTGAGTTCATCAATAACCTAAGGTTGTTTGTTTGGTGCCAGTAACTGTTAGCTTCATTTCAAACTCTAAGGCATTTGACCAAAGGTAGTAAAACAGCTTTTCAAAGTGAGCCATTTGTAGCACCATGACAGAAGGATTAAAAATAATGCAATAAGCAGAGTGCCAGTCAATGTGGTGTTTTGTCTGTCAAAACGGTTATAAACAATAAATATAAATTACTCATGGCATTTCAAAAGTAAATAACTTGAATGTGTCAGAAGGTAGACTGTAAACAGATCAGGGCTGTTTCTAAGATTTCAAGTTTCTGAGTACCCGCAATAGAAGGGGGGAATTCAACGTCTGGGAAGTTCTTTTGGTACTATTTTTCTAAAAAGTAGCCGTTGATCATGCTCATAGTAGCTGGGGGAAATCTCTGGCCTGGCGATGGCTATGAGAACGTCACTTAAAAAGTGAATTCACCCTGCCTCAAACTTTACCACCCTTATTCCATCTCGTTTAATTTGTCAAATGTTGGCATTTTTTTTAGAGTTAAATTCTAAAGGACCGTATAAAAGTTCAGGAAATGAAAAAGAATGTTGTGGTCTTGTGTTCTCATCCTCAATAAAATATGAAATTAGGCATTTTCAGGTTGTAGTCGTGCAACGACAGCAAAGAAATGTGTAAAAAAGCGTGATGCACGTGTAAAGTTCTTGTCTTGCCAATCTAAACCTGCTTTTTGCCGCTCTCTTTGCTAAACGAAGAGGAGAAAGTTGGTGAATAAAGAAACCACAAAAATCAGCACGGTTTTTCACACAAACTTTTATTCACATAAGTTATGAACAACGAGAAATACATTGACAGTTAATTAATTAGCGAGTAATAAAATGCAGTTAGAAGGAATTTATGGAAAATCATCATCATCTTCAGCCATCTCTTTGGCAAGCTCTAGGTCTTGTTTCTCTCTTTCTCGTTGTTCCTGTAACATGACAATAAAATCAACATAGTATTGACCAGGAATTTTAGCACAATGTTGAGAACTGTGAAACGCAAGTGAAGACGGTGGGAGAAGATACCAGAAGCAAAGTTTTTGGAAATTGTGGATGCCATGCTTATTCAGGGGTGGCTCTTGAGAATAACGCAGTTCTGCATAAAAATATTTCTTTTTCCGTGTTTCCTTCTAAGTGATGTTTGGCATCAGAAGACCTCCATACCTACATGATGGAAAGGATCTTCATGGCCACCCACTCCACTGGATATTCCAAGACCCCCAACCCCGCTCCTCCCCCCCAAATAAGCCACCAAACCAAACTTCTCACACTACTCCGTGGAGATTTCCAGGGCCTCTGACCCACCCAACCTTCTGCTGAAATCTCCAATCACACCTGTGGGGTTTCAAACCAAACAACCCCAAAATGTGGAGCAACATTTCTTGTGTACGCAGCATAGCTGTGGGTTGAATTCTGGCCCTTCACATCTCAAAAAAATGTCCAATACATCCCCTACTGTTCCTTGACTTTAATGAAAGGTAAAATGAACCCTTTCAGCCCCAATATCTACATACAAATTCTCCAAACTGATCTCCATACATTTCCTTAAAGAATTAGTTAAGAGAATTTGATAAAAGATCAAAGCATTTTTTCCCTTTTGATCATTTTTATTAATGCTCATAACCTAATCTCTTGACAAAGTATGGATATCATTAGGAGGAAATTGATGTTGGTCACCACTGGGGCTTGAAGGGTTAAGTCATTGCAATTGCCTTGAAGAAACTTGAAGGTGCATTAACACACCAGTCTCTTATTGTTAACTCATAAACACTGTCTTAATCCATATGTAAACGGACACAACATTGTTGATCAACAACTCCCTACATTGCTGGATGTTACATGTTGAGTCTGTTTGCACACCCTGTTGCATGTTGTTGCAAATTGTTGGGAGTTATTGCACAAAGTTCGAAACCCGTCAAACTTTTGGCTTTGTGTAAAATGAATGCAACAACTCCCAACGTTAGCCAACAATGTTGTGTCCATTTGCTCAGGGCATTATGGTGAAAGCATTTTTCAAGAATATAAATTTTACAGATTGTAGTTCCACATAAAAAAGTACCTCAAGTGATTCCAAATCCTTGCTATAGGATTTTGGTGGGAAGCGCATAGCCTGTGTGATAAAAAAACAAAACAAAAGAAAAACAAAAACAGAGTAATAAATTTAATAGTGAACAATAGAAAATAATGACTGAAATAATGATTTAATCAGTTAAATGTCAATGATCATAATACACAATTTTTTTTGCACAAATTGTTATTATTTGGCAATTTTTCTTGACCTGTCATTGACTTTCAAGTTAAAAGGCTTTTTAATGGTAAAAGTTTCCAAAGGGTTTGTGGAACATGCAAAACTGCTTCCAGAGATAACACTGAAACTTTGTGTGCACACAACAACAACACTGCAGCAAAAAAGATGTCAAATGACGTATACAAATTTGGTATCCACATTGATCCATGTTTTGCACTGTCGGAAAGCTAGGCATCCTTTAAAGTAAAACAAACAAGAAAACAACTAACAAACAAAACACAGGAAAACAGATATCCCTGCTACACAGGCTTGTTGTTTGTTTTCAGTAAATTTTGAAACAATCTCAGGGATAATCTAACTTGTTTTTCAACAAAACAAATTCAACAGTGTGTGGATGAATATTGTACTTACCCTAACAGACTGATTGTAGAGATCTAAACAGAAGCTAACTCGCTGGTGGAAAGCTCCTTGCGGCTCATTAGTGGAGTAGATGTCCACATTTTCCTGCAACAACAATCAAAACAAGATCACCTTTTTACAACCATGAGAGCAAACAAATAAAAAAATAGATTTAACAAAGAAAACTTCCATGCTATTACTAACAGTTACAAACCAAATAGGTCCAGCTAAAAATACCAAAGCAAAGGGATCTATGTTCAGATTTAAAGTTAGAATTACAGTGAGATCAAATTACTGATCTGACCACCTAGAGACCATGAACATGTGCCACTTCAAAGGCTATGGTTTTTGCGCCATTTTGGTCGGAAAATGGGCATACACTTTGCCCATTTTGGTCTGGAATCGGGTATGGTTTTCGAAGGAACTACAGTAGTGTATGAGCGTATTTATCGTTCCAATTCCAAATGAGTAAGAAAAAAAGAGAATTATGCGAATTTGAAATGGATTTGAAGAATTTTTTTGTTTGCGCTCTAATCTAAGCAATGATGACACAATTTCTGCCTAAAGGCTAGGTCTGAAAACGGGTATAGATTTTAGAGGTCTGGTCTGAAAATGGGTGTGGAAAATCACTTTTTTTGGTTCGAAAAAGGGTCAGGATTTGGTGAACCAGGAGGCACACCCCTACCAAGACTCAGCAATCCAGTATTGTAAAGTGACATGACTTCAATCTACCTTGGCACAAATTCCTTACACTACATAAAATTTCTTGACATTCACTATACCTTGGACTGAACATGGCCTTTCTCATGATCAATAGTAGCATCAATAACACCATCACGAATTGCCTAAAAAAAACCACAGTTTTCCGATCCTTTAGCAAAAATTTATTAGTAGCTGCAATAGCTTATCGTTACAATAAAATGCTATTGTTAGTGATTTCATAGAAAGTTAATCAGGTCAAAAAATAAAAATAAAGGTACATTTGTAGGAAATTCACAGGTGACAGAATTATAGGCCTTGGACCTGAAATCCACACATAAACAACCAGTCTGTGGAGCATTTCATCCATTTTCCTTGAAAAACAGGTTCATAAAAGACCAAAAATAAGAAAGAAAGGTCACACTCCCGCCCTCCAGCCTCTACTAACTATGTGCAAAGTGATTTTTATTTGTTATTTGTCTTTTTCCTGTTGGGTCATTGGGTCGCACTTAAGTTGTTTGTTACAGCATAGTTATTAAAGTGGAATGGTTACAAAACCCATCAGACTCTTTTGTTATATGCTTTTGTTAGCTTTTTTGGACCTGACCATGCACAAGGTTCAATAACATTCCTATCCTTTTGAACTTACTGACCAGCAGAAACATCGCATTAATTTATTCACTCAACTACAGCACTGTTGTTTTCAACTTTGATGTTTGTCGGCTTTCCTAACCAGTCTCCTCTACTAACTATGGTTATAATATTATAAATATTATGTTGCTTAGTCGCACCATCTGCAAAACACCAAGAAACTGCGCCTTTCAAGCAATATGGTAAAAATACTTGCCTTGGCAACAATGAACTCGGCATCCTCGGGACTGTCCAACTGAAGTTTCTGAGCAATATCAGAGAGTGAGATGCGTGAATAGGATAAGTTTATCATCCTTACACCTGCCTTGATGACATTGTGTCGCAGCCTAAAATATCAACACAAAATAATGTACATCAGTCTACAAATGGCAACAAAATAAATTAAGACACTTTGTCTTTAAGGGTCTTTGGGCAATTTGTCAACTTCACAAAAGGGAAATGAAGCCTTCTTTCCTCCACCAGCACCCCCTCCAAGCAGCTACCTGCCAAAAACAACCAACTTTGAGTGGAGTGGAGAGGAGAGGGGTGTGGATTGTTTTACCCAATTTGAGTACCCCATTTGAGGATAGGTCTTAATTTGTCATTGATTGGAGCTGTTAACCATATATTGTGGCAGTTACAGACTTATCCTTTCGTTAATAATTTCTTAAAGGAGTCAAAAGGTTATTTTAAATACTCTTTGGAAAAGATGGACACTACATTGACACAGCAGTGTGACTTTCAACTGATAAGGGCTTTTTGGATTTTTTCTGTGTTGTTGTCTTTTTTTTTTCACCTTTGATGTAATCTACCAAATCCCACTTGATAATGAGCATACTCAAATCAGATAACTTGTCGCTAAAGTTAGGAAAGAGGAAACTCAGTCTGCTTTAAACATACCCAAGTCTTACAAAAGTGTTCAAGTGAATGATCAGAATGCTTTGACCAGAATAATGTGGAAAACAAGGATGCAAAATTTAACCTGACGATTAGTGTATATGTCTTCTCTGACAAAAACTTCTCCTTGTATTTGTCAATCACTTGGTTAAAAAGCTTCAAGTCGCCATTTAACACAGCTGTTGCAAAAAAGTAATGACAAACGTAAGTCAAAATACAGTGTATCTTTTTAGGGACTAAAAATGATTTTATTTTAAACCAACTCAGGGTTGTCAGTAAGATTTCAAGTTGCCGGGTAAACACAACAAGTAGGCGGGGAATCAAACGGCTAGAGATTTCTTTTGGTTCTATTTTTCTTCTATTTTCCAATAAAAGTAGCCAGGGGCCACTCTCTTAGTAGCCAGGGAAAATCCCCGGCCCCCAGCTCTTAATGACAACCCTGTAACTTGTTCCAAGGTGAACATAGTTCTAGTAAGAACCAGTACTTGTAAGCATTAGTGAAACAGAAAGTATGAAAACATTCTACTGTCTGGATGATACTTCATATAATGCAATATTTCTGTCTCTCCCCACCCAAAGCTACAGATCATCAGCCTAACACTTCATGCACTCTGACAAGGGGAGATTTTTATTCTTTTATTAGTATTATTCTTCATTTTTTTTCTCCCTCCAGAAAGCTTTCCAAGTAACTTCTGTACAATTCATTGTTAATTTAAAATCAATAATTTAACTAAATATTATATTTTTAAGACAACTTTTCTCCTCAATTGTCCATAACAGTGTAAACACCAACCTTGAGTTAGCTGGAAGTATGGTACTAATGTTTTCCTTAGGGAAGGCTCTCTAAAAGTTGCTCTGTCAGGTATTTCTCCAAGAAGTAGTTGAACAACAATGGCAAACTTCTGTGCCTATAGAAAAGAAATGCCAACAGGATATGAATTTTCTATTTTTTTTAAATATTTCATTTAACAGCTTAACAGTGCAGTGAAAAGCTGTTTCGGAAAACCCTTGGAAATCATCACCAAAAATGTTGAAAAATAGCACCAAGAGCCAAATAAATCAACTTTCATTAAAAAAATGGACCAATAACTTGAACCCTGTTTTTTTAAGCACGTGACAAGTCGGAAAAAAAAAATGGTTGTACCACTGTACAGAAGTCCGAAGCACTGAATTTATTTCAAAACAACCTTGTCAATTCTTTTGTGCTACTTTTTTGTTCACTCCCGTTCAAATTCAGTGTCCAACCCTTTGAACTGAGTGTGCACGATACTTGCATTCCCTCCTCACCATTTTGCCTATTTACTTACTTCCAGTTATTTGCTTCAAACTCCCGATAACTCGGACTTTTTTTAATTTTCCTGGAAGGTTCTTGTTATCGGGAGTCGGCTGTACTCTGTTACTTGATCTACTTACTATATGTACTTACAGTTTGCTTGAAACCATAGGCATATTGTTGTGGTGCCTTTCTTATTGCCTGCAGTAGATTCTTATGTGCCTCTGAGTAGTCCAATTGAATGGCCTTGATTATACCTACATGTAAAAGGTGAGACATAAGCCTCAATATCAACATACAAATTCTCCAGTCTGATCCCCGTACATCCCTCTAAAATTTAGTTGAGAGAATTTGTTAAAAGATCAGAGTATTTTCCCTTTGGTGATCATTTTATTGACTCTTGTATCCTTTCTCTTGATGATGTATTTATAGTGTTAGGAGAAAATTGATGTTGGTCACTCTTGGGATTTAAACAATAAAAATAAAACATAATTCACCCAATATTAACATACTGATTACGCTTTGTAACTAAATGAGATTTTACTGTATCTTAGGTTACTTTAGAATGCCAGTTCTGCTGGTCACAATATATTGAAAGTTATCCTACAAGTGAAATCCAAAAATATGTGAAAACCTCAATTTTAAAACTAACCCAAGTTTAAATGACTAGCCATCAGCAACAATAGTAACATAAAGGAGAGCCACGATCCTCTTGGGTAAAATTGTAATCACACCAAAATATTAAATAACAATTTACAGAGTGTCCACTACAGTTCAATTTCACTTTAAAGGTGAGATGATGTGTTTCACCATGGTCAGCATTCAACAATCCTGGCACAACCTCTTAAGGATCACACATTGATCTAAAAATTGGGTAATCTCCTGGTGTTGTGGATGTGTGCAATCACCAAATAACATAATACAAAAGATTGAAAATACAGTGAATAAGACCCATGCCACAACAGAAGCGAACCAACAATGGTTTCCGCAATACCAAAATACCAAAAAATCGTAAAATATAATAAATTAGTGTGAGATCTGTCAAAGGAAAGAGAAAAAAAATAGTTCTCTTTAACTAACCTGTGTAATACAAAAATCTGGCCCATTCATTTGTAGTAGCTGATTCTGGAAATGAGGACTTGGATACCAATTTTTCTGCCTAAATGTCGGAAAAGATGTGACAAGAGTTAATTACTTTGTGGTTAAATATTAGTAAGAAATTGATTGCAAACAAGATAGCTTTTGTGATATAATTGCTCAAAATTCAATGTTAGTCAGGGAGGGAGTGGGAATGTAGCCAGTTTTACTCATATCGTGTTAACTGCTCCATCATTTTTTACCTCCATTGTAGTACATAAACAAAAGAAAAGAGTGTGATATGAAGTTGCCAAATGGAGACATTTTGGGAATTTAGGAATAGAAAAAATGAAAGAAATTATTGGAAAATAAAAAAAAATTACAAAAAAAGATGATAGATAATTTTGTAAAACTTGTTACCCTATTAAATGACATGTATAGTATTTCAATAATCCATTTAGCATCAAATTGTCTCATTTCACTTTTTGCTGTTCCTTATTCACCATTTTGACAACATTTAAATGCAAGTGTCTCAGTCAAGTGACCACTTAAGAGCGCCTGTCTGTAAAAATCAGACAAATTCAAAATTTCGCGGCAAGGGTGGAAAATTCGATTTCTTTCATATTTTAATGTTACATGGGCTAGGGTATAACTAAAACCACTGTATAGTTCTTTCGGTGAAATATCCTTTTATTTCAGCGATAAATGCAAATAAGCAAAATCCGTTAAAATCATCATTTGAGGCGCTCCTTTATTACATGGGTTTGAAAGCCTCGCGTGCAAAAACCGATTACTCTACCGTCTTTAAAACATCACAGCCTTCTTTTACAACTTCTAAATATCAGTCAAAATGATTTGGGGAGATAGTACTCTGCTCTTTGTATACAAAATAATTTAATTTCGAAAGCATATAATTTACTTTAGTAAAAGTAGTGCCTGAAAAAACATAATTTTCACCATGTGCGAAACCTTCAAATCTATTAAGCTGCTGGTGGTTGAATCTTAGATGGATGGTCTACAGATTTCTGTAAAAATTTTTCTGGGCAAATGATTACTAGCGACGCGAGAGCTTTACAAAATCTGTTAAAAATGCAGATATTTGACCTTCTGCGGTCAACTTTGAAGTTGCGAGTCGGACATAAAATTTAGTCCCTTCACTTGTCTAAACCCACAGTAGATTAAAATAAGCAGATAGGAAACCGTTTTGAAATGTTCTTACCTTAAAATATGCTGTAAAAGACGAGTCCAAAGGCCATTTTAGCCCGATTATGGAGTCGTTTGAACTTTGTCTTGTAACGTGTAATTGTACACCGCGCCAACTGTCAACGTCTTCACAGGACGAATACAATTCTTTGATCAACTTTCGGGGCTTTTCAAGACGACTGCATCTTTTTCGACGGCTCAGTTATTTGTTAAACATAGCTTAGAACGTAGTATCGGAAAATATTACCAGATATTACATCTGACTGCTACAACAGAATGACACAAAAATGCCTGTGCTCACATCTTGAATTGCAGGCAGCTGTTTGTAAGTCACGCAATCCAATTAAGAGGGGTGGACGAGGGTGAAGTAGCAAACGGCCACAACGAGAACAAAGGCAATAACTAAGGCTAAGTTCACACTACACTGGATAACTTTACGTGCAGACACAAAAAGCTATCCGGTCTATCCGGTAAAGTATGAACACCTATCCGGTATGTGACTCTCCTGTTTAGTGATCGGCGCGTCGCAGCTTTGCTTTTTCGGGCCGAAATCACCGTTCTTTGTGTGAACAGAAGCCCTATCGGGTATGCTTTCTCTTTGTGCCTGCACAAAAGCTATCCGGAATAGAGTGACAGAAGAAAATCTATAGCTTAAGATAGTGATACCCTTAGACACGGTCTTTCCTTGTTAAAATCCAAATACTGGTCATTTTGTTTATTCACAATTTTGGTTGTCAGCTCCCGGACTGGCCGATTTTATTAAACGGTATCAGGACCGTTATCAGTGCCATAACCTGCCCAAACAAGCCGTACTTGGAACTGTTGAATAATTTAGGAGAAGGCAGCAGCTGCAATTCTGTAGAACAAACTCCAACGTAAGCATGCAGTCGCAGTCTAGGGACCTCTGGCATTAAGGTCATTTCCCAACTCTAATTCTCTTAGAATCATAGTAGTGGTGGTGTTACGAGACAGCTCTTTAAAACTTCGTTATATTTTGCAAGCTATGTAAATATCGTATTTCCTCGAACAAGCGCCCCAGCGCTTACTTAAAATTTCGGCTAAAAGGAGAGGCGCTTATATAGGAAGGCGGGCGCTTAATAAGGGAGGCGCTTATTAACTTTTCCTTTCAACAAACGGTATTTCTATTTTGGCTAAATGCATCTTAATGCGTTTGGCGGTCTGTACTGTGTGTTCATTTTAACTCTTTTTTATTTAACCTGTTACATATCTGTGTACCGTATTTCCTCGATAAGAGCCCACGCTCAAATAAGGGCCCGTCCCCGAATAAGCACTCACCCAGCTGGCCATAATATCAAACACTTGCCCTCTCTCCTCCTCATAACTTTCTTAAATAGTAGGAATACAAGAGGAATGGGACGATCTGCTTATTGATGACGAGGATAATCTCGAAGATAAAGAGCAAAGTGCCAGCGCGTAAATAGCGCGCGCACCGTGAAAGATCGTGACGTCATTACTACAAACCCTCTTGCAAACACAACTTCAAGCTGATTTAGCAACAAAACGGAAACGTCAACTGACGCCAGCGGGCGCAAATCAAACAACAGAGCGGCAAATTGGCAACGAAAGTCGCGTTTAGTCCTTTCCGCGTGCTCTTCCGTCGTCAACTGACGTTCGCGTTCTGTTGCCAAATCAGCCCATGTAAAAGTCGGATTTGGATTAGCTGTGATGTCACAATCTTTTGCAGTGCGCGCGAAAAATTGAGTGGGGATGTGCGGCACGCCTCCTGAAACCCTTATCCTATTTCAGACCAAAAATCTGTGGTTTTCCCTACCGTATTTCAGACCTGATCAAAAATTTGATACCCTATTTCAGACCTGACACTTAAATCAATACCCTATTTCAGACCTGCCTTATAATCAGTTTCCTAGGTCAGACCATTGTTAAAGGCAATGTTTATACGATTTTATTAAGTAGGATACAAAACTGTACTGTTACGGAACGTACTCAGTTGGCTTAGAACCCAAAGCGAAATGGTCTTATCGCCTAATGATGAAGAAGTAGCTTTTCTTAAAAAAAAAATATCTAGACCAAACTGGTCGAAATTGATACCTTTCTTTAGACCAAAACGGCTAAAAAACCATACCCTTTGGCGCCGCACACACCTATATAGCCTATATAAGGGAGTAACCCCCCGCCCGAAATGCAATCACTATACATTTGTGTAAAGTGTTTAATGGGACTTCGGTACTCTTGATTATAACAACCTCTGTTTTAACAAATAAAAGGCACATGTCTCAAAGCATCTGTACAAAAAACTTTGATAACCTTTTTATACAAACCAAAAACTGATTACGCTCACAAAAATTCGTGTACAACAGGTCGCAACTAGCAGCATATCCCTTTTGATTAGCGCCTGCAACAATGATTCTTGCTTCTTTTTCATTTTTGAAACCCTGTTCGCAAATGAGACACGCGAGTTTTTAGTGTAACCAATAACGTTAATTGGTAACGTTCGCGAAATAAGATTGTTGGGGCAATTATTTTTTCTTTTGTTTTTTCGTTTTCTCGCTTACTTGTTATCGTGTATTCTTTTTCTTTTCGCTCTCCGGTATTTTGTTAATTACGCTCCTTTGTTACGTGCTGTATGTAAATTTCGTTATAGTTTGTTATCTCGCCCCTATTTATTACCAGTTTTTTACGTGTCTATTAGTGTAACATCATTCGTCGAAGTAGATTATCTCTTTCCTCGGTGGCCCTGACCACCGACTCTGTTATCCTCAGCATTTGGTAAGCAGCTTCGTTTTCATCGTTTTTTCATTAATTTCATTTTGTAGTCACTTTAAAGTAGTTTTTCTGTATTGTAACTATTATTTTTCGCTCTTTGTAGGAATTTACTGTTTTTTGGGTTTGGTAATAGTAAAACATTTGCTGATTGTGAGTTCACGTGTTGTGTTTTGGAATTGGCCCTTGCCCGTTCAAAGATGACCCAACGAAGGATAGCTGTCAAAATAAAAGGAACAGAGGATTTTGTTGCCTGACAAAAAGCTGCAGGCATCTTTAAAGTTTTGGTAATTACGAAATTTTCCATTTTTTTGCAAAGACCAAACTCTATTTTCTGTCGCAGTGCGAACAGGTTCAGTTTTTTGTCGATCTTTACTATGTCGTAACAAACAACAGTGCTAGATTGTAGAGTGCCAGAGTGGTTAAAGTAGAAACTATAGTTTAGCAAAGATGAAGCAAGCAAGAAGAAGAAAAAGGCCATTGGCATGATGACGCCATTTTACTGGTACGACCAGAATCCTCAGGAGTTTCGCTTTCTTGTACAAATCAGGGCTTTTGATCTCGCTGGGATTACCAAATTTAAAAAAAAAAACATGAAAGGAAAATACGAAAAGGATTCTGGTCGTAGTAGTAAAGTAACGCTATCGTGCAAATGCGTAGCATTCGTTGATAAACTGGCTTTAAAAAAAATCTTTAGTCGTGTATAAAGGGTTTCTAGGTCTACTACATGTACTTTCAAGCACCACCACTCCTCTCCCGTGAAAATGCACATGACAGTATTGCGTGACGAACAGCGTCAACATTATTGTGTCGTTGTAGCACCGGTCAGATATATACTTTCGTGCAGTGTAAAGCATTGTTTAACAAAGGGCTAAGCCGTCGAAGAAGATGCAATCGTGATAAAATTCGCCTAAAACTGATCAAAGATTGGTATTCGACCTTTGAAGACGTCGAAAGTTGTCGCGGTGTGTCGGGTGTGAGGTGTAAATTGCACACGTTACAAACCAGAGGTCAAGCGACCAACGACCCGAAAATCGTGCTAAAATGATCTTTGGACCGGTCCTTCACTGCTCATAATAAGGTAAGAACATTTCAAAACGGTTTCCTATCTGCTTATTTTAATCTACTGTGGGTTTAGACAGGTGAAGGGACTAAATTTTATGTCCGACTCGCAACTTCAAAGTTGACCGCGGAAGGTCAAATACCTGCATTTTTAACAGATTTTGTAAAGCTCTCGCGTCGCTAGTAATCATTTGCCCAAAGAAATTTTTACAGGAATCTGTAGACCATCCTTCTAAGATTCAACCACCAGTAGCTTAATAGATTTGAAGGTTTCGCACATGGTGAAAATTATGTTTTTTCAGGCATTACTTTTACTGAAGTAAATTGTATGCTTTCGAAATTAAATTATTTTGTATACAAAGAACAGAGCACTATCTCCCCAAATCATTTTGACTGATATTTATAAGTTGTAAAAGAAGGCTATGATGTTTTAAAGACGGTAGAGTAATCGGTTTTTGCACGCGAGGCTTTCAAACCCATGTAATAAAGGAGCGCCTCAAATGATGATTTTAACGGATTTTGCTTAGTTGCATTTATCTCTGAAATAAAAGGATATTTCACCAAAAAAACCATACAGTAATTTTGGTTATACCCTAGCCTATGTAACATTAAAATATGAAAGAAATCGAATTTTCTACCCTTGCCGCGATATGTTTGATTTTTACGGACAGGCGCTCTTAAAATGTTATTTTTAGAAAATATCTATATAATACAGGGTAAAAGTGCTGTTTTTTTGTTCCTCGTTACCTGATCATACAGATTAAAGTGAAGGTAGTTTCTTAAAAGAAGATTCAAAAGAATGGCCTGCAAGAAAGAAAACAAAAAAGTTGAAATATATAATATGAACATGACTTAGTTCAAACAGTTGTTGTACAAAAAATCCATGCTCAGGTTAAACCAGAAAATTTTTTGTATCCTATGAATTAGAGCAAGTTTAAACACTGATTAAATCTGGAAACAGATTCTACCTGCAACATACACATAATTATTTGTAAGTTTATAATAATTTACAATTATCTACACAGTAAAAAAAAAACAGTAGGCATAAATATTACTATTATCACTATTATTGCAACACTGTCTTAGCAAAAACCAAACTAACCTGTCCTTCATCATCATGTCTTAGAGTAGCCGTCCTGAGTCTAGCAAGCAGAAAACTGTGAAAAACAATAAAAAATATACATATTGATATATACACTGTACTGCCCAAACTATACAAGATAAATGAGAGGACTGACTGAGAAGACCAGGGTGACTGGAATGACTTAGAGCACTTTCCATTTGTCAGAACTGACCGGCCAGACCATTCCCGTCATAATGAGAATTTCAATTTTAATCAAAACTATTCAGCAAGATCAGTCAAATCCTAAATAGCATGCACGAACAGGGTGCAAAGAAAAACATTTTTACATCTTCCCATTCAGGCAAGCTGAAGCTAGCATTTACTAGTGCAGACTTCATTTCAACTAGCCCCAAAAGCTTTTTGATGAGCAAAATAATTCTTCTGTGATTTGAATTGCTCAAAAAACATTACTTGCCCATCGTGCAAGTTAAAAACAGAATTCACCTGCCCAATAGCAAAATCCACTTGCCCCAGGCTATCAGACATTACTTTCTTTGCACGCTGAGGAAGGAGATGATTTTTCAGCAAAAACCCTTTGAAAAAGCCAATTTCATTTGCTAACTGACAAGTCCAGCAAAGGACTGGGATGACTGGGATGAACAAGGTGACTAAGACGACTGGGATGACCGAGGTGACTAAGATATCTGGGATGACCAGAATGACCGTGATGACCAGGATGACTGGAATAACCAGGATGACCCAGGGTGACTGAGATGACTACCGTACGATGACTGTGATGACTTCGATGACTGGGATGAGCAGGATGACTGGGATAACTGGGATGACTAAGATGGCTAGGATGACCAAGATGAACGCGATGACTGGAATGACTGAGATGGCTTGGTTGAATCTTATTTTTGCCACCATTAGGAGTAAACTTATTTAGAGAGAATTGACCAGTTAACACTGATCAGACTTGAGTCATCTTGACTGTTTAAGTTATGTGATATAAAATTTGTATAATTTATCTTCTTCTTGAAATACCTTCTGATTTCCTTTAATCTGCCAACCAGTTCGTAAGCTCGAGAGTGGTAGAAGTAACACTTGGCCAAAAGAGGATCCAATGTTCTTCTGTTATGAGCCACTGATCTCTGCATCAACAGTTCTGAACACTGAACTGCCTACAATTCAAGAACACAAAAAGGAACTATTTTTTTAAAAGTTGTATTGCAATAACATGACAAACAACACAACAATGATTGTAACAAGGAGGTGGGCACTCCAGAATAAAAGTGACAGGAATGATCAAAAGGGGACAAAAACCACAGCAAAAAAGTCCCTACGGTGTCAGACGAGACCTGAAAAAATTAGTTGAGATAAGTTTAATTTCCACTGTATTGTAAACTGAAGAGCTGAAAAATCAGTTAACTATGTATTATTAACCTGGCAAATTGAATATTCAATCGACCCCAATCATGTAAAGCCCTGCTAACTTGAACTCATAGTTTCCCTACAAAGTTTAAGACACTCCACGATGCCAACCACTGTTATGTACAACTGTTACAACCTCTCGATGATCCAAATTAGTGATCACCATAATATGTACTTCAACTTCAACTTTATTACAAAAATATTTGCAAATACAAGAAACAAAAAGAATGGTCCCCAGGTAACATTTGCTAATCTAGGTGAAACATCACAATGTGATCCAGAATTGAATGCACTGTAAGAAATCATAAAGAACTTTGACCTACCTCATTGTAACACTCTGTATCAATCAGATGAATCAACACTAACAGATGAAAATAGAATTCAACTTCTGGGAGCGAAGCAGCTGCTATTAGCCTGGCACTGCGAGGTCTGAATGGTGTTGAGACTTCAGACTCCATTGGCTGAAAAGATGTTAATGATTTTAATAGATCAAGAAAGGAAAAAGATACCTTGATTACAGCTGTGGGATTGATAACAAAGAGTCTTCTTAAAGTACTATTTCAAGCATGCAAGTTAAGTTAATTGATAGAAATGTACATTACTATAGACACTTTCTAATGGACCCCTCAATCTTCGCATTAATAGGGTGTCCTTATTAAGCGGGTGGAATTTAGAGAAAGTGTAAGCAAGGGTTCGCACAGATTTTTGGATCCAAAATTCAAGACTTTTTCCAGACTTTTTCCAAAATGTTCAATAATTTATTTTTCCAGACTCAAGGTTATCAAACAAGTGATTAACAGAGACCTTCAAAAAGGCAGGAACAAAACTTTTTTCATGATGCACTACAAACTTATAGGCGAGATTGGATAAGATCTGACCAAAATTTTAAAAAAATTCACCTATAAAGCACTTGTTTTAGCTTCGAAAAAAACTCAAGACTTTTTACCATTTTCCAGGGGCAAAATGTTGAGGTGTTGGTATCAAGCAGGTGCCCATAAAGTGGGGGTTTGACTGTATAATTAACTGGGTTTTGCCATCTTTACCATCCCACTGCCCTGCCAAAAAACCTCTGACAAACTATTTTTAACCCCCTAAAAACTGCCAGAAAATATTGACATTGTAAAATACATGCAACCCCTACTTCCTCCTCATTGAAAATTAAGTCCTCAAACAGTTTATTTTCAACCCCAAAATGCCTTTCACAGCTTAAATCTTTTATTTATATAAAATGTCCTTAAGTAGCCCACTCCCAGGTAATTACCTTATCCAGAAATAAAAACACACCTACCTCATCTAAAAATGCAAGTAAGGCATCTCTTGTAACGGATGCTATTAACAAGAAGTGTGAAAAACAATCAATAAGGTTATGCACTCGGAACAATCACACAAAGCCAGGTGAAAAACTGTTGCCTGGACACAACTGATGGTAGCTCAAGGTTACTGGAAAACTGGGATCATTAGCGACTATGATATAAAAAGTACAGTGAAGGCAAGGCCCGTCATCGCTGACGAGCGTCTGAGTCAGTTCAGATGCATCAGGCAGTTAAAGATTTTTCTTTTGTTATTGACTATGACAACTTTGCTAAGTGGGGCATTGAAAAAACAAAACAAATTCCCCGGTTTGAAGAAGCTCATTACTCGTTTGTTCTAAGGGCATGAGGGACTTAAGCCATGATTAATCAAGGAAAATTTGGCATTGTGCTGGATTTTGTCTCTAAAATTGCTCAGCAGCCTACTTTTATACATTTAATTGTTTAATATTCTAGGTTGTCCGTACTCCTGAAGAATACCAACTGTTTTCTAAAGACCTGAAAATCAGTGCCTGCATTTTAACAGCCACAAAATCAGCGTAGAATAAAATAAATTTGCATACAAGAGAATCAATGGTTCACATGCTTGGCTCTCTAAGCGAGTTAAAATAAATAGCCTCACTCATGGTTAAGCCACTATCCAATTAATTTGTGAGAATGTAGAATTACCAGCACTTACAATTAGGAAAGAATCCACAAATGAGCTTTCGTAGGATTGGATGAGTCAGCTTTTTCCTTGTCGCTGGAATGGACCTCAGCACACGAGTTAAGAAACGGGATTCTTTTGATGACACTGACTTCTCTATGTACTTCACTTGTTCTTTCAAGTCTGCAAAATACACATAATAATAATAATAATAATAAAATATTTATATAGCGCTTATACTTTTCAGTTCTAAGCGCTTTACATTACTTCAAAAAGGTCTGAATAAAAAATAAAAATCCTAAAATCATTACATATATACATATATAAAACGGGATTCTTTTGATGACACTGACTTCTCTATGTACTTCACTTGTTCTTTCAAGTCTGCAAAATACACATAATAATAATAATAATAATAAAATATTTATATAGCGCTAATACTTTTCAGTTCTAAGCGCTTTACATTACTTCAAAAAGGTCTGAATAAAAAATAAAAATCCTAAAATCATTACATATATACATATATACATATTCACAAAAATACAAAATAAAAAACCTAAGATAGTTCGTAAACTCGTTTAAAAAGGAAGGTCTTCAATTTAGATTTAAACTTATTTACATCATCGATCGATCTAACGTCAACAGGCAAATCGTTCCAGAGTATAGGGGACACATACATGTAAAAGGTTAAACTAGCACACTTTCGTTAGTAGAACATACCAGAAAAAAATCTCCTGACTGTGTACATGCGATTTGGGAGTACAGTGGAACCCAAAAAATATAACAAAGGGCCAACGGACTGGCAAATTGTTCGCTATAACGAGGTTTCATAACATCGCAGTTTAATCCATATATTTTACGATTACTGGGGCAAAGAAAAATAGTTGTTTGTTATGCCGAGGACTTCATTATATAGAGGTTTGTTATATTGAGGTTCTACTGTACAAAAAACAGATCTTGAAGGAATAATCAAAACTATTGTATTGTACACGGCTAAGACCCCCCAATCCACTGAGGGAGTTGTGCTACCTCTATTTACCCCTTTCCCAACTATGAAGGATATGGTTTGTTATTTGCAACCCCCTCTCTAATAATAGCTAAAAAACTGTCTCAGTGCAGATTGTCTGAAAAAATTTCCATGTTAAAAATGAAAGAGAAACTAAGAAAAATAAGAATAGATTAAGTAATTTAAAGCATTCTTTGAGACTTTGTAGGAGTCCTTATTTTTTTCCTGGTTGGCCATTTTAAAGGATTTTTCACATCTGTTTGGTGCAAAATTCATCGGTCAAAAATTCCACTAGTGTCATCTTGACAATTGACCAATGCAAGATTTAGTGATATTTGACGCCTCTCCTGACACAGGATATGTCAATCATTTTTCCCATGTGAATTTATAATATGATTCAAATCCATTCAGGTGAAAGAAGTTGACCTCTCAACTTCACCGCTCCCTAAGTTGCGGCGCAACCTCATTGGAGCTTGCTTCGCCCGCTTTAAAGAACTGATAAGAGGTCAAATTGTAACAAGTCTAGCTTTCATTGAATCAATCAGGCTTTAAGATAGTCTGCACGGCAAGTCCGTTTGTGAAATAGCCCCAAAATCCTTGTTCTTAGCCCCTACCTGTGTACCAGGATTTGAATATGTATCATGATCGGCCTGTTAAAAATGCCATTGTCAATTTGCCGATCAAGATGAAAGGAAATTCAAAACACACTTCAGGTAAATTGCTGAGTCTGTTGGGAGCCCAAAACAAGGATATTAGTGTTGCTTTACAGATGTGGCTAACTAAAGTTAAATCATGTCTGCAATCCAGACCTGCATTAAGACACATCTTAAGATCAATCTAGAGTTGCTCATATGGACATGTACAGTACTTTGCACTGGTTTGTTCATTTTGTCCTATGGTCCTTATTGCCCATGACATTACTACAGCTGTATGTTGTAAAATTTTGTTAATATCCAGGTAACTTCTTAAGCCTGGTTTTCATTTGTCGGGAAAATCCCAGGCGATCTGGGATTTAACTTTTTGCTGACCATCCCAGATTCTGTTGATATATCAGATAATCACCACAAGTCTACCACAGAGACGCGGTGTTTATGTGTGATAGAGGGACTATACCCCAGCAATTTAGAAGATTGGTAATGAGCTAATTCCATCGCCGACGTCCCCGATAGTACAAATTTAAGTTTTCATTTGTCAGGAATGATTGCCGACCATTGCAGAAATCTGGGATGCATCAGGAAAATAGAAATGCTACCGATTCTCCAGATTAGTCACCAACCATCTCAGACCATCGGGGTTATCTAGGATTTCGAGTTTTCAATAGTCGGCAAAATCTGGGACAGTCTGGAAACAGTAAAATCCCAGACCATCCGGGATTTTCCCGACAAATGAAAACCAGGCTTTAGCCTTTATAGTCTTCAATTAGATGAGTCAGACTTCCATTGATCGTCAAGATTTAAAAATTGTGGAAATTACCATACACTTTGACAACACAGTGTAGGTGGGAAGAATTTAGTTTTGATTTTTCGACACAAAGAGTTTACTGGGTTAGGTTTTCGTATAATCCCATACATTTATTATGTATGCCGCAATTTCATGGTTTTCCTCACAAATAGTTTAATATATATGAATAGAGTCGAAGCAGGTATATGCATAATAAATGTATGGTGTTACACGGAAATCTTATCGTTGTCTCGATACTACAAAAGATAATCAAGGCTCTCAAATTCATAATCATTTCTTTTAAAACACGAACCGCTATCACAAGGAGATCTGCAATCTTTACAACAAGCCAAAGAAATTACACCCTACCTTCTAAAGCAAGCCTCTCTTTCTCCTCTTTGGAAACTTCAGCTACTGGTTCTTCAGACTCTGTACCGTTTTTCTGGGAGGCCTCCTTCATTTCTACGTCTTCTTTTTTCATTTTGACTGTTTCTTAACAACAACTTGGCTCTTTATGTCCTTTAATTTCCGTTTATTCTTCCTTTCACACACGCTTTATTCGCCGGCCATGACACTGCATAGAACTGCGCATGCTCAACGAATTGCCGCTGACTGACACAAAGAAAGCCGACGGCTCCAAAAAATGGCGGCCTCCTACGCGCGTGTGCTCGTGCGAGTGATTTTCGCATTGCGCGACCAAAACAAACTGCTCTTTGTTTGGTTTCGGGACCTTTGTGTGATTACAATACCACACAATGCTCTCTGAACTAGCAGAAACTCTTCCTGGTATAGGTAAGATCCCTTAAGTGCAGATATCCGACTTCTCGAAGAGGTTTGATAAGAAAGATGTTTGTGCACAGTTTTGATTTTGTGTAATGTGATCGCAAAGGTGGTGGTACCACGCTGAAGGGTTCAGAGGATGTTAAAAAGGGTTTGCTTCAAGATGAAGACCCTCTGCTTGCAGAAAATGCTACATTGCCAGTAAGTGTCAGGCTCGATCTAGTTTCACGTACATAAATCGTGGCAAAATGATCAGCTGCGCTGATCATTTTCACAAACGCGGTTTTTATAACTTACTTGAGACACATTAATCTTTGGGCCCATAGATTGGACTAGTACTAGTGAAAGATTTTTCTCCACTGAGTTCTTTTGTCTCAGAGATAATCTAATCACCAGTATTTATGCGACAATCAAGATCAAGCCCAACCTTTATCTCTTGGGATAGTTTTCCGGGCATTCCGCAATGTTGATGATCTTGTTTGTACCTGCCAGTTTGCGAGCCTGTTTACGCCTTTTTTTTTTCTTTATACAGACTGGTGTATTTGCTGTGCATGTGTTTGGAGCTCAGAACCTCTACTTAGATGCTAACTTCCCCCCTGAACACTATGGAATTTATGTTCAAATAACAGCTGGGTCTACTACTAAATGTACATCGGTGCAGTCACCGCTTAAAAAGGGCCATGTTGTGTGGGATGAGATCAGGAATTTCCCTGTCACTGTAAGTCAAGAGTTGAGAGAAGTACAGAGGGTTTAATTTGCAAGTGTGCCAGTATGACTTATGAGACCCTGTTGGGGTAAAATTCTGACAAACAACATGGCTTTGAAACGGTGACGTTAGACCAGATGAAATGGTGACAAAGGGTCGTATGGATATAAAGATGGGTTAAATGCTGACAGAAACACGGCGTACTCGTCAAAGTACGAAGCAGCTGTATTTGAAATTCAAACCAGGGACATGTGAACGTACCCAACTAAGAAGGCCTCACTAATGGTTCTATAACTTGACCCCTAACCATAACACCTTCAGGGGTACCCGCCCCCTACACCTGCAAATTATACCCAGAATATTTGCCGCCCTGCAGACTCTTCTAAAACCCAACTCATATCAAGGTGCCAAACATTAAAATTGATAAAAAATTGAAAATAAATTGTGCAATGCAAAAGTGCAATGATTTTTACAAAGTTTATCAAAGTGTGCATTGAAAGGGTGCGAAAAAACCAGATGTTTCTTTATTCGTCAGTGGTTTATAGCAACTTTAAATCAGTGAGGAAGAGGAAGCACCCTCGAAACATCCTGGTTTTTTGTGCCCTTTCAAGGCACATTTTGATGAACTTTGTAAAAATCATTAAAAGTGATAAGCTCCCCATTAGGCCCCTACCCCTTAATTTTTTTATTATAAAGCAGAGACATGTTTTCATAGAGAAATATGAGCACTTATGCTCTTATTTCTTGCATGCAGGGTAGATGGCCATTATAACTGCCAGATTTACAAGCTTCTCCTCTGTTCTCCCAATATGATTTCCATGTGAATTTAAGTAGAGGGTTTTAATTACAGCCTAAATACATGAATATTGGATCAAACATATGAAAGGAATTCCAGTAATCTTAGGTTGTGTATTCTTATTCCTGCACACAATGTACAACCAATGCAACACACCCTGCATTTAGTTCTGTATAGTTACATAATTCAGATTTTTTAGGCAGCTTCTTTTACTGCAGTGAAATTGACTGTTCATTGAATGACAGAATTTTACTGTAATTTTATTTAAGATTTCCCCCAAAGTAACCAGTGCTGCCAACCAAGTCGTCATTACTGTGCTATGTTTTGACAAACTTCAGCCAATCCCAAAACATAAATTACTGGGCAAAATGGAGTTCCATCTGCACAAGTTAGCAAAGGTACCTTATATATAGGTGACTGTATGGACTGCAGACATGTAACTTATACCATCATTTTTTATAAGACAAATAGTATTATTGGTTTCAGAATTTCCAGGTGCCAAGAATTGGTTGGAAATATTGCAAAATAGTTTTATAAACATTAAAGTTTTAATAAAACTATAGACATAAAAGGTAAAATCACAATGTTTGGTAGATAAACAGTAAGCAGAAACAGTTAAGAGAAACAAGTTTTGGCTCATTATTCAGACCCTGTTTACACGAGTCTGAACAAATTTTAAATGGGCTATTTTTTACCTGTGTAAATTAACCCAGTTACCTGGAACTGTCCAAATTCTGTTACAGAATGCAGAACCGTTTGCCTTTAAAAAACTTGTGCTGTTCCGTGGGTCCTGTGTAAGCAAAAGGTGGATCTGTGCAAGGTTTTGTCCAGACTCGTGTAAACAGGATCTCTGTGGGGCTCAGAAAGATAAAGATTTTTTCATAGCCCTGTGTAAAGTACTGTATATTGCATGAATCTAAATAAACTTGTTGACACATATTTTGCACCTTTTAACTTACAGAAACAATGGTCCATGGAGACATTTGAGCTGCAGAACAGAAAAAAGCAGGTAAAAGGGAAAATGGTAAATAAAAATGATGGTATACTGTTTGTGCTTTGTTTATAGCATGGATGTGCACTCAGCCAGCTCTTACTACATTGTGGTTTATAGTTACTCCAGTCAAATAATACAAAACATGGTTAAAAACTTTAACGTAGAGGAGGCCACTAGCTGGCCAGCTATTGCTAAGCATATGGCTTAGGATTTGAACTTTGGACACTCAAAAAACAAATCATGCTAAACGCGTACTGGCCATTTCTCTCATACTGTGCTGTCTATCAACAGACTACTAATAGCTGTATATTGAAATCATACGCACCTGATGAAGTAGTTGACTGACATTACAGTGGTTGACTTTTGGAGACATGGTCTTTTTACTTGCACATTAACTTACAGTCTGAACAAAAAGTTTTTGTTTTCTTTACAATAGTATGCTGGTGATCTTCAGCTGGAACTTGCTTTTGCATATGGCTCATACGGCTATGGTTTATGTGATCAGGTATTTATAACCTTCTGGAGTATCTTTCATCAGTATATTTTCTAACTTTCGTTATACTTTCACTAAATTTACTCACTAATGTATTTTTGCATACTAGCTAATGTGAATTTTTCTTCTTGTGGCCATAAATTGTAACAACCTCTTTCAGTAATAAAGACTTTTACTATATATATGCTGGAATTGTTTTAGCTACTGTGACAACTGGTATTCTCATTGGCTACTCCCAGCGTCTGAATGAGGGTACACATCGATAAACATGGATAAATTACCTTAATAGGGTCTTAATAATTACCCTTGGAAAAAGTCATGAAACTTGTGTCATTTCAGATTAAACTGTTACTAAAATGTATGTTATTACCAACAGGAGACTTAGTCAGCTGTTAGGAATGTTATGATCATTATAAATTCTCTATTAACCTCCCGCCCTGCTCTAATAATCTTAGTTATACCATAACTGTATTGGAAAAACTACAGGGAGTGGTTATCATTATTATTATTACCATAACTACTTAACTTTTTAGCTTGAGAGTCATCAGCCTCCTAGATATTATTTGCAGCAAAGTGCATTTCCACACTTGGAACTTCCAACTAGCTCAGCAGGAAACAGTTCAGGGTAGAGTACATAGAGTAGTTATCTCTTTCAGTGTAATCATAATGTTGAAATCAGTCAGATTTAACTTAGCTGGAGTAGTAAAATAATTTGTATAGGTAATAGCATGATTAGTGGTGATATTTGGCATAAATACCACTAGTGATATTTCAAAATTGTTATACGTAATTTCACGAGCCGTTAAGCGAGTGAAATTTGAAACAATTTTGAAATATCACGAGTGGTATTTATGCCAAATATCACGTACAAATCATGCTATTATTTGTTTATACTACTACCCGCAAAAGGTTTGTAATTTTCACATGTAGGTATTTCAAATTAAGCTGAAATACTACTGCTTTAAGCCAATCAAATTGCAGTAATTTCTCATGTCGTAGTATAAATCTGATAATAATTTATCTTGTGACTACTAGGTCAGATCAGCAAATGAAAATTATTTTTACGTAGATATAGATGTGGTCACAGACACTCGCAGTGCAGAGATTTGTTATACAGCAGGATTGAGATAGTGACTTATACACCATTTTCCTCAGAGCATATTAGGCAGTGTAACTTCTGTCAAATATAGCCGCTAAAAGTTGTGTTTTTCATTATAATATGCATGTCATGAGGAAGAAGAAAAGTGTAATATTTTCTGAAACAACATAACCACTTATAAGTGCTCTGTTTTATCCCTTTAAGCCTCAATAGTGATCCATATCTAATTTCTCCCAACAATAACACTGCCTGATCAAACAGACAGGTCATGAGAATGAATGAAATGCATGATCACCAAAGATGAAATGTTGTGATGTTACAACAAATTCTCTCAAGCAGTACCATAAGGAGTGTATGAAGAACAGTGGGGAGAAGATGCATGTTGATGTTGGGGCTTAAAGGTTATACATGGGCAAAGCAGATTATATGGTAAAGTAGGATTCTTCAGATCCTTCAACTGTTTTATGGGCAGTCACCAATCCTGAAGAATCTTGTCCAGTCGCCTGTATTATCTTGTCCACGATCAAAATCCTTCATGTTGGATTTTTGTCAGGATCTTGAACAAGATCGTGGTTAATACATGAGATCATGTACGGTCATTCAGGATCATGGACAAGATTCTACAGGATCCCATGGAAGAAAAAGGAAAAGGAAATGGATGGTTTGTGCTAATTTGCCTTGCCTTATTATCCTGCAGAATTATGTTTGTTC